ACAAGTAAAATCAAGTCAGGGCAAAGCAGGGATAATGAGATGATGTGCTCATTTAAAACACAGTGGCATCTTTTCTGTTAGGGAATTTCCTTTTTATTTTGATTTGCATTTTTAATTGCATTACAATATAAAGGTAAATGGTGGTCCATTGATATTGGCTTCTCTGCACATCTGAAACCACAGCTCTCCTGTGAGACAGCATGCAACAGGGAGGATCCACTTTGGCTTTCCCAAGATCATGCCTGGATTTTGTCCCTGCATGGTGGCAGTTGGCTCCAAGCATTCCTGTTGTCTTCTTGCATGTGCTTCCAAGGGGTTCAGGATAGCTTTCCTGTGAAGCTCCTCTGCTTGTAGGCTCATCCAAAACCAACTCTTCACTCCTTTTAATTCCTCTTCCAACATCATAGCTCAATTCTTTACAGTTTTTTGGGAGGTTTTTTGCTGTAAATGTCTCTCAGTGATGTTTTCTGTAACTTACGCCTTTTCTTTTTTCAATCTAGAAGAGGTCCTGGAACATGATTTGTGTGAAAGATACCAGAAAAAGCAGAATCAGGGAAAAAATGGTTGGGATATTTTTTCTCTCCCTCTTGATTGATTAACCTTGAAGGCATAGACGGAAAAGCCAGTAACATCAATAAAGGCAAGCACAGAGCATTGGAAAGGGAGAAGTGCTGCTGGTATGACCTGATTTTTCTTTTTAAAATGCAGAATGGAGGGGTTTTTTTCCACATTTGGCTTTCTGGGCAAGTGGTTACTGAGGGCTGCCATGGTGAGCTGCAAAGGGAATCCCAGCACCCATGGAGTTTTATGCTTTATGGTGCTGCTTCAAAACCCCTCGTGCTTAAAAAAAAAAAAAAGGAAAAAGGAAAAAGGAAAAAGAAAAAAGAAAATCCCCAGAGTACTGTGTTTTTGTGTGTATGCTCCCCCTCAGGGTGCTTTTCCAGGTACCTCTTGAAGCACTGATAATCATAGTCATGCACAGGGTTGGGTTTGGTCCCTTCCCTGCACCAGTGAAACCCCTTGGCAGACACAGGTGCTCCCACACAGGTCTCAGCAGATAAATAATCAGCAAAGATGAAAAAATACGGTTCAAACCAAACTGCTGGAGTTAATCCTTTCCAGCTCAGGATTTTGAGGGCAGGGAGGGAAGCTTTCAGTACATTTAATTCAGGCAATTGGATTTTACTCACTGCACTGATCAAATGACACAAGCACGTGTTTCTCTCTTTTGGGGCTGGCACACCCAGGGCACAAGAGCTGGGAAGGAAGGCAGGGAAAGGATTTCAGGTGAGTCTGAGGAAGAGGTTTTATAGAGGCTGGCAAATCTACAGGCTGTCTCTGGGGCCTGGGGCTGCTCGACACGCTGGGAAGGGGGGAAAGTCCATGGCCATTATAGTTCCTTTGTTGAATTTCAGCTGGCCCAATAGCTGAAAAATATTCCATAGTAGAAATCTAAAAATTCGGAGAAAATAAAATTATTTCACCCAAGCAGTTCCTCAGCACCATCTCTACCTCCCTGCCCTGCTAGACCCTCTCACCTCCCTCAATGTACAAGGGCTCCTCATCCATCCCAAGCTATTGCATAAGAGCTCTAAAACAATTTCAGAGCTGAATTTTTGCCCTGAGCATGCCCTGGAGTTAGGGTTTGGAAGCTGAAGAGGTACATTGCTGGGAGAATGGTCATTTCCTAAACAGCACAACCACATTCACACCACCATTCACAATCAGAGAGGGTTATCTGACCAGGAAACGTGCAGGAAAAAAAACATATACAGTGATGTACCCATGGAAAAGTGCCTTTCCCCACGTCTAGACCCACCAAGGTGTGCTCTCACCTGCCTGATGTGCTGAGCTTTGGCCCAGGGCTCAGCCACCACTCCCACATGCTCAAAACCAACTGGTGGTATCCTCATGGCACTGTTCTTCTCTTCTTTTTTCCTATTTCTCTTTGGGAAATTTCTTTTGGAGGGGAAATGGGATCATGGCTATTTTGGCAAAGGTGGGATTGTAGGGTGGGTTTACTGCCCCAACATCTGAGACCAGATTAAACAGCAGGCACAGGGAAACATCTCTTCAGATGGCAGGAGCTAGCTTTGATGCTTATTTCCAAGGAACAATGCAGGTATACTGCAAGTGCAATATGCCTGGGGAACAAGGCAGTTGCAATACACCTAGAGGGAAAGTTTAAGTAAAGAAAGTAGATTATACAGATGCAAAAAGCTTGGGGGCAGGTGTTATTGCTGCTGTGACATGAAAAGGTGGGACTTTCCATCTCCAGCATCGGTGTTAAACCCTCTTTGCCTCCCTGAGAGCATCTTCAGAGAAGCGTTGGGGTACGAATGTATGTGCTCTGGGTCAGGGGAGGGATGTTGGATGTGGGAAGAGGCACCCATGGGAGTTTAGCAACTCTTCACCAGCATTTTTATCCTGTGTTTTGGAAATGCCAGCTCAAGGCTGTGCATCAGGCTGGAGGGTCTCTGGTAAGTCTCTTGGTGTGGTGCGGCAGAGAGGGAGTGGTATCAGAGCTGTGTGGCTGTTGAGAGACTAGCTGAGGTGTATGTAGGTGATGGGTATCACAGAAAGGGGACCTGTGGAGCGCCCAGGGATGACTCAGCTGACACTAAATAGCATGTGTTGGTGGGAGGGAGCAGCAAGAATTTGGAGGAGAAAGGGCTGAAGGCAAAGGAGTCAAGTGTGTTAGGAGATAAAAGCATCATGGCAAAGAGCAGTGATGAACATGGGTGCAACCCTATGAGGCATTGACAAAGAGGTTTCTAGAAGAGAAGGACATAATTGTCATTGCCCAAAGCCCAGGGCAGCCCTGCCTGCAGGCAGAGAGGGAAGCAGGATGAGCGGCTGCATCCGGACCAGCCCAAGGAAGGAAGGGAAAAACAGTGGCGGGAAAAGTGCCCAAAAGCAAGTGAGACCTTGGGCACTGGCTGGCAACTGTGGCAGGGACCATGCTGTGATTGACACTGCAATTGCTCTCATAGTGGAGCTGCTGTTCCCCAAACAGACAGCTCCATCTGTCTGTTCAAGACCACACAGGGTAGACCCCAGGAGCCCATATGCAGGGCATTTGAGCCCCCACTTCCCAGTGCATGCAGGAAAGGCTTCCCCCATCCCACTGGGATGATGTGCTCTCAGACCAGTATTTTCACTCCTCTACCAAGGGTTCATACCACAGGAGCAGCTCCCAGCAGCTACTTTCTGTGAGTTGGATCAAGCAAGGGGTGACCAGAGTCTGAGCAAGCAGGGAGAAAGCTGAGTTGGAGCTAGAGGTCAGGAGCTCACCAGCAGCATCCTAGAACTTTCCAGCAGAAAGGAGCAGATGTGAGCAAACATCTTGGTTCTGTTGTGGTGCTCCTTTTGGTGAATCCTTCAGTATTTCCAGAACAGTGGCACATGAGGTGTTGGTCTTGTGGTGAGGATGACAGGTACCCATCTGTGCTAAGCACCTGTTCATAAAGCCTTGTGTGAGATGGCAATTCTTATGTAGACTGTCAACCAACAGCGCATCTTAAAATCACAGACTCATAGAATGGTTTGGGTTGGGAGTGACCTTCAAGGATCAGTTAGTCCAACCCTCCTGCCATGGACAGAGACATCTTTCATCAGGTTCCTCAAAGCCCCATCCAACCTGAACTTCAATGCTTCCAGGAATGGGCCATCCACAACTTCTCTGGGCAACCTGTTCCAGTGTCTTACCACCCACATTGTAAAAAAATCTCTTCCTTGTACTTACCCTAGATCTACCCCATTTTACTTTAAAACTGTTGCCCCTTCTCCTGTCACAACAGGTCATGATTAAAAAAGAAAAAAAAATCTCTATTTTTCTTAGAAGCCAATTTTATGTATTAGAAGGTCACGAGAGGGTGTCCCACCCAGAGCTTTCTCTTCTCCAGGCTGAACAACCCCAACTGTTTCAACCTTTCTCCAGTTCTTAACCTCTCTGACCATTCCCATGGTCTCTTTGGGTCCTGCTCTAACAGGTCTATGTCTATCTTATACTGGGGTGCCGACAGCTGAACACAGTACTCCAGGTGAGGTCTCAAGAGGGAGGAGTGGAAGGGGAGTATCTTGTCACTGGACCTGCTGGCCACAGTGCTGGTGATGCCCCCAGGACACAATTGGCTTTCTAGGCAGCAAGCACACACTGCTGGCTCATGTTCAATTTGTCACCCACCAGTATCCCTTTCTCAGCAGGGCTGCTCTCTATCCATCCATCCATCCCCCAGTCTGTAATGATTTCCTCCTGCAGGGGTTGCAGCCAGACACTGACATATGAGCCAGCAAGTTTTCTGCTCAGAAAACAAAGGAGGTGTCCTCATACCCCAGTGGTGGCAAAGGCAGTGGGTTTTGTTATTATTATGGGGTTTTTCTTAATTTTGCTCATATCTTTGGGGTCCTTGTCAAAGTGATGGTCGAGGTTAGGAGATGCTTTCCAGCTGTTAGGAAAGCTTTTGGCTGGTAGTCAGCACATTGTAGCAGGTGAGGAAGGGAGAAGTTATGAGGAGAGAGAGGATGAACACAGTTTATGAGCGGAGAAAAACAGAAAGCAAAGGAAAGTGAATGAACCAGTTTCATGTCTCGCCTTGTGAGCTCAGTTCCTCCAGAGCTGCTGTAAGAGCCTGGCTCTGCAGAGCAGCTCTTGTCAGTGATGCAGGCTCTCAGCTGTCCCTCTGATGTCCTGGCAAGGTGGTTGAAGGTGGTTTTGAGTCTGAACGTGATTTAGCTTTTGCTAGAGACCTGCCTTCTTCCACCAAATCCTCCTTCATACAAGGTTTAAGGTCCCCAGGAAGGTCTATGCTCAGCATCACCAAGGATAGCACTGACTGAGATGGACAGTAGAAATGAAGCCAGCCCTTTGCTTGGTTGCCTTCCCCACCCAGTACAGCCAGAACGAGCTGCTCCATGGGCATTGGCCCAGTGGGGCATTATGGGACTCAGTGTGTCCAGTTGAATCCTCCTGCATCCTTTTCCTTTTCCTTCTCCTTCAGAGAGAGCTCGGGATTATCTGCACAAGACCGGACGCTTCATCGTCATTGGTGGCATTGTCTCACCCGTGCACGACTCCTATGGGAAGACGGTGGGTTGTCCCCTTTCTCCCTTTCTGCTGCCTGTGTGCTATGGTATCTCTGAAGCCAGGGTCAATCACTGGGCAGCACTGCATGCACCTGTCCTTTCATGGACCTCCCCTGCGCAGGGTAGCTCTGGACCATGGGAAAGTCTCCAAGGGGAGAGAGATGATGAAAACACTCACTCTTTAGAAACTGCAGCAAGACCCTATAACCAGCCGAAGTACTAGACAGCAAAACGAAACGTTCTCTCCTAAAGTGCTGGTGGTGATCTTTTTGGGTTGGTTTGGAGTGTGGGTTTTTGGTGGGGTTTGTTGTTTTTTTTTTTGTAGTTTTTATTTTTCTGAATGATTTCAAAGCAACAATGCAAAGAGGGCCTTTAAAAGCACTTTCTAGGGTGGGAAAAATCCAAATTAGGAGAGTAAAGAGTTTTCTCCTCTCCTGAAAGCTGTAGAGATTTCATCAAGAAACCACCATCCCCATTCTGGCACCACTGCAGTGCAGGGCTGAAAGTGGTGGTGCTGAGAAAATACCACTGGCCAGTGCCTAACCAGGGCTTAAGCAAGTCAGGGACTCCTCCCCTCCAGCAGACAGGAACTTGAATAAATTTCTGTGAGCAGGAGAGAGTCCTTCTGGCCTGTCTCATCTGAATGAACCCAATGCTCTGCCCAGGGAGGGTTTGCAAGCCAAGGCTGGCCAGGGCATGGTGCTTGCTTCCTACAACTGTTCCTCCATCACCCTCTCTTGCAGGGCCTGGTTTCAAGCCGGCACCGCCTGACCATGTGCCAACTGGCTGTCCAGTCCTCCGACTGGATCAGGTGAGTGGCAGAGTCCACACCTGCTGCAGCACCAACAGCCGCTGCCCCTTTCCTGGCACTGTGGTGGTAAAGTCCTGCATAGAAAGTGGAAATGCCACTGGCTGCTAGAGCTCCAGGATGGACTTTCTGTCCCAGCCAAAGCTTAACTAAAAACTGGAGGACTTCCTTTCCTAGTCCATCAAAGAACCAATAAGTGTTACACCATCCTTCAAGGGAGCCCTTTGACTTCAGGGGATCTTGCAACCCCCCACCTTCCCCACTGAATCTGTGGTGTCTGGGTAGGCTCAAAGTCACCCAGCCCACCCCAGCCTTGTGCTGTGGCACCTCCTCTTTCTATAACTGTAGCACCAGCCCACAGTCTCTCCCCTTCCCAACACTGCCATGTGGCATGTGGTGGTTGAGGTGGGATCAGAAACATCTTTGGGCTGTCCTCAGAAAACAGGGTTATAACACATGTAGTTACATCCAAGCCAATGAAAGCTGTTTAGTTGGGTATAAAGAGTGGATAGATGTCCAGGCACATATTCAGGTCCCCAGAGCTGTCTGGGAGAACAGAACCAGAGGGCTAAAGGAAGGACATAGTCCATGGCAGTGCTGGACGAGTGATGGTGGCTGCTCATGGCACTGCTTGGCTGGCCCAGTGGGGAGAAGGCAGCATGGCCAGGAGGTCAGGCAGTGACATCAGCCAACCATGTTGCCTTGCTGTGCTCCACATAGGGTGGACCCCTGGGAGTGCTACCAGGACACCTGGCAGACCACTTGCAGCGTGCTGGAGCACCACCGCGACCTGATGAAGGTGAGGCAGCCCTTGTGCCGTGGATGCACCCAGGGTGAGGCTGTGGGGAAAGCACAGGAGTGGGGGTGCTCTTGCACCAGCATATGGACATCGACAACTGAAATATGGCTGGGGTGGGCAGACAGATGACATGCAGGAACATGCCTGAAATCCTGACCTGAAAGAGGTGTGAGATACTTCATCAGAGCCACTTTGAGCTCCTAGCACTGATGGCAAAAGCAAATTGAGCCCTCCAGCTGGAGCCAGCAGCAATCTCAGGCCCATGCACACCAGGAGGGGAGCACAGTGAAGGAGAGGATGGGCATAAGCCAAATCATTAATGCAGAGTGCTTGCTCTACCCTGAGGGGTGGACAGGTAGACGAGTACCCCCACTCACCAATGTTGTGGTTTAAGCATGGCCAGCAATTAAACACTTAATTGCTGCCTACTTACTCTTTCCCATCCCCAGTGGGATGAGGAAGAGAATCAAGAAAGTTTAAAACCCATGGATTGAGATAAATACAGTTTAGCAATTGAAATAAAAGTAAAACATAATAATTAATAAAGATAAAAGTAAATAAAGAGAGAGGAGGAAGAGGAAGGAATAAACCCTGCCTCCCTTACCCAAAAAAAACCCCAAGTGATGCAAAGTACAATTGCTCACCACCTGCCGACTGATACCCAGTGCGACCCAAGCAGTGATCTGGGCCTTCCGAGTAACTCCCCCCAGTTTATATCCTGGGCATGATGTGCTGTGGTATGGAATACCCCTTTGGCTAGTCTGGGCCAGGTGTCCTGTCTCTGCTTCCTTCCGGGTTCTTGTGCCCCTCATCAGTGACAGAGCATGAGAGGCTGAAAGTCCTTGATCAGGGTAAGTGCTACTGAACAACAACATCAGTGTGTTATCAGCATTGTTCTCTGACTGAAGCCAAAACACAGCACTGCACCAGCTACTAGGAAGGAAGTTAACTCTACCCCAGCTGGAACCAGGACAACCAGCCAAGATGAAACTGATATATGAACCTGACAGAGTGACTCAGCAGGCAAATCCAGCATCTGGGAAGTCCCTGGAGAGCACAAAACCCAGGAGAAAAAGTCCCTCAAAGCCCAGGCAGGCCTGAGAGCCAAGGAGGAAGGTGACTGCCCTTGGGTAACTGCAGGAAGTGGGGAGCAGGACTGCTGCCAACGCTTGGATATAGTGAGCAAATCAAGGACAGGAAATGGATAAAATAGCATCATACAAACCCACAGGCAGCCCAGACAGGAGGCATAGAAGAAGCATTAACCAGCCTGGCAGGATGTCTAGTGCATCCAGGGACTCTGGTGTCAAAGCCAGGGAGCCTCTGGAGATGCCTTCCTTGTCCTGCAGGGACTGCTGAAGGAAAAGAGGTCACATTTGCTCCCAGAGTAATGTGTAAGCTGCTGGCTTTGCACCACCGATTCATCAGACACTGTGTTTTTATTTGTTCATCAGCAGTTACAAGCACCTCCATGTGACGGGGGCAATGCCAGCTGCAGGCAGCATGGCTGCAGTCTTGCCAGCCTCATGGGTGCACACAAAAAGTTAATCCCACCATACCCAGCCTTAATCACAAGTCATTATTCACAGGGTCCTGCTAGCCTTAGCTCTATCTGGTGAGGTTGGATGGGGCTGGGGATCCTAAAGTGAGGTTGGAGTTATGTGTCACTGGAGATAACTTCAGCTTGGGTTGCAGAGGCTCAGTACAAAGTCATAAAGGTTTTGGGAGGTAGCTGGGGTGAAGGCACAGTTCCAGTTATATCTCTCCTTTGTTGCAGAGAGTGACTGGCTGCATCCTCTCCAATGTCAACACACCCTCCATCACTCCTGTGATCGGCCAGCCCCAGAACGAGTCCTCACAGACCATCTACCAGAACAACAACAATGTCTCCAGCAAGCCCACTGCAGGTAGGTGACAGCAGGGTAGGGAAGAGGGGAATGAGCATCCATCCCTCACCTCCCAGCCAGGGCTGCTAGGCATTAGGAACAGTGATTCATCCTCTTATTTTTGGGTCAGATCATTCATCAGTCTCCAAGGCCAGGGTTCAGTGAGGACATGATGGAGGAGTTAGCATCCAGTGCAGCAAGGGGAGCCAAGAATAGCTTAAAATAGCTGTGAAATCTCACTGGGCTTCAGCTGGATGATGTCCACATGGTGAAATCAGCTAAGAGAAAACCTACCTGGTACTCACAGGATAGGGTACCCACAGGGATGAACTGGCAGGAAAAGTGGTATGGCTGAATCCCCCAAGAGCTGGTGTGATGTGGGACACAGAGATATTAGCTGGAGATTAGAGAGGGCATTACTTAAATCCCATAAAAATGAACATCTTGTGATCTTTTTAGTGATTTTAGCTATCCAGCTTGTCCCTTCAAAGCACAGCATAGCACTCTCAGGAATTAGGCTGTGGCATGGCTGTGTTTGCTTTGGAGGTAATGGGGAGATGCTGAGAGCAGTTTCTGCAGTCAGGCGCAGGAGTATCTTGCAGGACCAGGGTGGCCAAAGCACTTGCATGAGTTGGTCACACAGCTTCTAATTAATTTGCCTTCTTCACTTTTAGCAAAGATCCTCGGGAAGGTGGGAGAAAGCCTGAGCCGGATTTGCTGCGTTCGCCCACCCATGGAGCGCTTCACTTTTGTGGGTATGTAAATGAAAGGTCCATCATAATCTCTGCTTCCACTCCAGTCCCCAGCCTTTCTCCCGTCCCCATCTTCTAGGCTAAGCACCAATATCTCTCTTTTGCTTCCTTTCCTCAGATGAAAATGCCAACTTGGGGACAGTGATGAGATACGAGGAGATTGGTGAGTACACACACCCCCTCCACATCACTCTGACTCCTCTGGGTCAGTGCTATGCAGCTCAAGGAGCAGTTGCATGACAGATCCCATGGTGACTGAAGGATGCTGGATCATCTCACCCTGGTGCTAGCTACCAAAGAAAGGGAGGACATGAAAGTCCTCTAAGATGAGCAAGGAAAACCCCTGGGGCTTCACCATCAGCTTTGCTAAAGCAAACACAGCCATGGCCAGGGCTTTGAGCAGTCCCCTGGGCTATCCATATTGCCCTGTGGCTGGAGCCGCTGCAGCAGATCACAAAGCAACTGTGGGTGCCTGTAGCATGGAGAAATTACTCCCTTCCCCAGGGATACCCCACCTCCATGGCTGGAGCATAGCCATAGTTGAACAGCATGTAGCAATGCTCACAACAACCCAGCAGCATGGGAGAGGAGCTGAAATAAAGTAGGGGGAGGTATTTAATGTTTGGCACCAGTAGGGATGTGAGAAGGGACACGGGATCTTTATCAGGACTTCTTTTGGTAGGTGAGATCTGTGCAGAAGGTTCCTCCCCAAGAAGTGCAATGGGGAGGAGGGTAGGGAGTGCCTTCTCAGACCCATTTCCTCCTACCTCTGAGCTTCTCTGCTTCCTTTCTTCAGAGCTTCGCATCTTACTGCTCTGTGGCAGTGACCTGCTGGAGTCCTTCTGCATCCCTGGTCTCTGGAATGAGGCAGATGTGAGTCACCACTGGAGGGCACCCCTCCGTGCCCCTCTCCCTCAGGCTCCCTTTCTCCCCCCGTTCTTCCCAGACCCAACACTACCAGGAGCTGTGCCCAGCATCCCCACTGCCTCTTCCATCCCAACCTGACCCTACTTCACAGGCAGCCTGAAGGACAGGGTCTGCAGGAGAAACTAGATTTTTATGGCACCAGCCCTAGAGGAGGTGATGTATTACCAACCCACACACTGCTCGCAGCAGTCAGAGCATTGCTGGCAATGGTAGCTCCCCCGGCTCTTCACTGAAATCAGTCAGTCAACACAACCTGACCCCTTCCTTGAGTCTCTCAACCATTTCTAAAATCAGTTACCACGTCTTCAATCCTGAGGTTTTTAAAAACAATTAGCTGGCAGATATCTCCTCTGAAAGGCTGCAGTCTCTGAGATGATGCAAGTCTTGAAGCCCAGCACAAAGGATGCAAAAATTTGATGTCAAAAGCACAGGCAGAGGAGGCATTCTGAACCAGCAACACCTCATGTACTCCTGCTGCCTGAATTTGCTGACCTCTCACTCTTTTGGAAGGACCTGGTTTGTCTCACCTGACGTGGGTGTGAGCAGCAGGAGCCATCCCTACATGGTGGCAAACCTGGCCACCAGCCTTGGCTCAAACAACCTTGGAAGAACAACCCTACAAGACCTGTGTCAGAACCAACACATCTGTCCTGCTCACAAAGCCTTCCAGCAAGACAAAGTTCACGTCCTCCTTGGGCAACCTCTTCTGCTGCCATTCTCCTTTTACCATAATGAGTCCTCCCTAAAGCCTAACCTCAGCATCTAATGATAAGATTCAACCCTGTGCCTTTCTACTGCAGACCACTCACTATGCCTGACATCACTTGATTCCAAGTTTTGGCCAAATGCCTTTGGGATAGTCTCAAATTCACTTCCGATCTCCATCCATAGCCAAGTTTTCATGGTGCGGGGTGGTGGAGGTAGGCAGCAGCAGGTTTTGTGTGGGGTGGTTATAAAGCTCTCCCCACTTTGGGTTGCTCCTAGATGGAGGTGATTGTTGGGGAGTTCGGGATTGTGGTGGTGCCCCGCGATGGAGCAGACCCCGACCGGATCATGAACCACTCATCCATACTCCGCAAGTACAAAGTAAGTGGATGCACATGTGGTCAAGGAAGATTCTGAGAGGACCAAGAGCCTCTCTTTACCTAAGGGAGCACTTCTGCCACAGGGCACAAAATGTCTCAAGGCCAGATGCTCCCAGCTGCTAGGTGGGGTGGGCAGTGGGGCCACAACAGCATCTCCCTGAGTCCGCTGGGGTGGAGGGGCTGGTGGTGCAGACACCTGCTTTCAAGCCATCCCTTCTCTCCCCTCTTCCTCCTTGCCCTGCAGAACAACATCCTGGTAGTGAAGGATGACTCAAACCACCCCATGTCGGTTGTCAGCTCCACCAAAAGCAGGTGGGTGATGCAGGGCTGCTCCCACAACAGAGTGGGGAAAGGGGTGCCCCCCAGCCACCCAAGTGGGTTCTGATCACTTTCTCTCCCCCCACACTCCCAGACTGGCCCTGCAGCATGGGGATGGGCACGTTGTGGATTACCTCTGCCAGCCTGTCATCGACTACATCCTCAAGAGCCAGCTCTACATCAATGCCTCCGGCTAAACGCCAGAGGTCTCGCAGGGAGACAGCCCTCGTGTCCCACCTGCCTACAGCTCTCTGTCACTCTTCTCTCTCTCTCTCAGTCTGTGCCTCCATCTCTCTCCCCACCCCATCGCCTCCTGCCCGTGTCTGCCTCTCACCCCCGGCGCCAACGCTCCATTGTGCAGCAATGTCCAGGGAACCGCAGCACGGCCCCAAGGAGAATGGTTTGGTCTGTTTTTTCAGGGAACCACCCTCCCCCTCACACATGGGGAGGAAGGGGGGGACCCAAAAAAGGGTAGCTCTGATGCCCCCCTCCCAGCATGTCACTGGGAAATGGTCCCACTGGTCCATCCTCCCAGCATGCTCAGAGCAGGGCTTCCTCTTCTGCATCATCTTAGAGTACTTAAGCTCAATAAATCTAGGTGGACTTTTTTCTTAAATAGTTTTAATGTGAGCCTTTTGGACCTCTCACCACGGTGACCAAATGAATCCTGGTTGGCAACAGGCAGTTGTAACACAACTGGCTCAGTGCCCTGTGGCAGGTGAACTTCCTCAGGCCAGCAATAGGACAACCCAGCTAACAAAATCCTCCCCCTGGCCCTAAAAAATCTTGGAGAGTGCATTTCTGAAGGGAAGCAGAGCCTTGGTAAGCATGGCTGCCAAAGCATGACTGGGGGGGATGTCATGTCTCACATTTCCTTGGCTGCAAGGTCACCCCCATGGCAAGGGGAGTTGGGGAGATGCTCTACTCTGACTCAGTATCAGAGCAGGCAGCCCTCAGCATCTAAAAGCGACCCACCATTTATGAAGCCAAGAAAGGAGGGAGAAAGAAGCAAGTGATGACACCCAAACCTGGCTGAGCTTTGTGGGGGCTGGGTCCATCCTCATCCTCTAGCCTCCAGATCTCCATTTCTGTCTGTAAACTTCCTCCTTCTCCCTCTGCTCCTGCCCTCTTCCTCTCCTTGAAGAGTTTGTTAAATGCATGATACTTCCCCCCCTCCCACACTGGCTGTGGCTACTTTGCACATCCCTCGGGACATGCCAGGCTCCTGCTCTCCTGCTTGTGATGTGCCCCCAGATGCCAGGGATGGAGTCTAGTGGAGGTGATCGTATCAAAATCAGGGCAGGTAACATGGAGCAAAAGACAGTTATTTAAGTCCTGAAGAGTGGAGGGCTGCTGAAGCAGGCAGCTGTCCTGCTGAGCATCCCTGAGGTGCAAGGACCCTGCACAGCCCCTGGAAAAGCTCACAGCCAGAGGAGGAAGGTACAGTCCTGCTTTACTCCTCACCTTTTCCCCTCCCTTTGCTCCATCTAACCTTGTATCACTTTGGGTAAAGCTCTGCTGCCTATAGCTGCTATAGTGGACATCTGCCCACTCCCCACAAATTGGGCTAACTAGACTCAGGCTACCCCACACCACCACCCTCCTCCAAAGCATTTCCCATGCTGGCTTTGTGGCTTTCCTAGGGCAGTGCTGTGACTAGCTGCTGGTCCCCAGAAAAGGAGAGTGCTGTGTTGAGACACCTGAAGGCTGAGAGTCCTCCAGCGTATTTCATGAAAGGATCTGAAATGACTCTTTTTTTCTTCTTAAAAGTCTATGAAGGATCATAAGCTACTCTGATGGAATCTCCAAGGATGAGACATTGTGCTAAATTGGGTGACCTGATGGATGCTACTTGCATCTCTGTACCAGCAAGCAACTTCGGACAAAACAAGGTGGCCTACAGCCACAGGCTTCTTGCAGCAGGCAGGGCTTTATGAGTGGTAGCTAACAACTACTGAAGGAGGGCTTAGCCCTTCCAAGAAGGGAAAGCAAGAGAGACAGAAGTGAAGTGACATGCCCAAAGGCCAGAAGAGGGCCTTCCTTGCCGGGGATTTTCCTCTACATGGAGAGGCTTGTTCAGGAGCAGATGTACATTTGGCAGCTGAATCCCGCAGTGCCAGCTCTGGTACCTGGGTGGTGGCGTACGTATCCTGTGGGGTGAGGATATGTAGAGACACCAAACCAGAGAGGGTGGTAAGAGTGAGGGACTTGGACTGCAGGGGTGCCCCTTCTCTGGGGAGGTCTTCAGCCAGTTTGAGCTACTTGCCAACACCCTACTGAGCTCACTTAGCTAATAGGCTGGGCAGATGCCCACAGTAGGACATCTCATCCACATAAGCCCGACATACATAAGCCAGTAGCTAGACTCCTCTCCACCTGTTCTCACATGTTCAGTTTTACAGTCTCTCCTCCCACTCCACCCCAGCACAGAAGTTATTTCAGACAGCAGTTTCCTCTCCTTGCCAGTCGTCCCCCATGTTTCTTGTCACCAAACCTCCAAAACCACACATACACAGATTTTAACCTCGTGGAAGAGCAACACTTCATTGAAAGCGGAGGAAGGACAGTGGGTTTTAGCTGAGGAAAAGACACAGGGAAATAAAACCAAGGAGATGGAGAAGGAAGGCAGGTGACATGTCAGAGAGCCATCTCAGATCTTCCCTCCCTCCCTCAGGTATGCAAGACGGGATGCAGGGGAAGCCAGCCAGCCTCCCATCCCATTGCAGTTAGGATGGCATGCCTTAGAGACATAGCCGTGTGGTATGGATGATGAGTATATTCTGTCTTACTAGTCTTACCTGCACCCTCATGTATCCGCTGAGCAAAACTCACAGTAGGGGAGGGTGGGACGGGGGTTTGTAACAGGTCATTCAGCTCTGGGACTGGTTTAGAAGATGTCTTTGGGTGGGTATGGAAAACAATAGTCATCCCTGAAGATCCACGTGACAGCCAGGGAGGTGAGGACAGGGGTTTCCAGGGTGGAAGGGAGGGGTGGGAAAGACATTGTGGGTTTTCGTCTTTGAACCTCCACTTTTAAACAGCGCAATTTGCTGAAAGAGAAATGAACTTCAAGCAGCTTTCAGGGGAAAAAACCAGAACGGGGGTGGGGGGAGGGCCAGGGGTTGAAGTTGCCATGCCACCGATTCCACCGCTGTCAAAAGTTTTTGAGCCTTTTTTTTTTCTGTCGCTATATGAAAAAACAGTCATTGACAAAAAACTTTATCAGCAAAATGTTTAAATTATGTAATAAACAAAACAAAACAAAGATATTACTGGTGTTATTTCAAAACAGAGCAGTGGCTGCACTGCTGGGAGAACAGACGGCCAAACTCACCCAAAACAGGGAGCTAGAGAGGATAAACCGGTAGGCAACATCCAGCCGAAAGTATTCATTCTTTATTTACCCTCTCCCTTCCAAAAAACTCAACTTGTGGAAAAATAAAGTCAAGCCCATAATACCTGTCCCTACACTGTACAATGGGAGAAGAAAGACATGCCAGAAGCAAGAATACATTTCACTTAAATAAAAGTTCAGGGCAAACATAGCACTCGGTATATTGTTATGAAGCAAGAGCATGGGCATTGCTTTATTGCAGAATCAGACCTAACAAGGGGTAAGTCACCAAAAGTCCTTCTCCATCCAGGACCTCCTTTTTCACCACTATGAAGGTCAGAGTGCTTCAGCAAAGTTGAACTCCGTCTGTTAGGCTCTGGAAATAGCACCTATAGGAAGCTGGGAGCAGTGTCAGAGCAGAGCTGTAACCACAGAAAAGCCACAGGTGGGTGAAGTACTGTGGTCTTCAGCTCCTCCAAGCTCTGCTCAGATGAACAGTGGGAAACCCCTGTGGACAACCAGTTGAGTCCCTAAAAAACATCCAGCATCACGTGGGAGGTGGGAGGAAGGGGAAATAGGCAGCACCAAACCAGGGACATCTCCAGCGTTTTTAAACAGACCAAATCAGTGTGCTGACACTCCTGCAGGATGGGACCAGGTTCTCAGAGATGAGAGCTTGTGGCTGCAGACACCTGGAGAAAGTCCTCATTCCTGTGACAACTGCTGCAGGGTTCTGGGTGCTTGTGTAGGGCAGACAAAACCTTCTCCTGAGCTCTGGGACATCCAGGAAGCTGCCTGGCACCAAACTGACTGGTCTTGGAAGGAGAAGTTGTGCTTGAAAATGAAAGAGACCAGTGCTTGCCCAGGAGGAGCTGTGACAAAAAAGCCACCCCTTGGGGGCTTTGGGACTGGAAGAAAGAGTGGGAACCCTCTCCTGGCTGAAGGAAGCAAGGCAGAGCAGGAAAGGCTTTCCACTTCAGAGCCCACAGCAGTTCGCTAGTCTGGGATCCTCCTCTTTCTCCATACAGCACATCACTGTGAGCTGAAAGGCAGCTCCAGCTTCTACCTTAGTGTAACCTCACTGAGAAGCACCATGGTAGACCTGCAGCTTTATCAAAAGTGTCACCAGTGGCATCTGATGCCTAATCTCTAAGCCACACCAGCACCACTCCCAGCCAGGTGAGGAGTGGACAGGCTGGGAGGAGAAAGCCACGTGAAGCATCACCAGTGCCACAGCTCAAAACTCATCTCCCCCGACTGCCTCTTCACACTGCTCACTCCCTGCCTCTTCAGCTACTGAAGCAAAGATGACATGGAGAACATGAAGAGGTGGTGGTGGCAGTGTGAAGAGTAAGGACAGACTGCAGTCCTTCTGTGTGTGCCAGACCAGGAGAACTGTTCTCCACAGGGGGGTGGAGAACATTTCAGCCATGAACTTCAGGCTCCAAATTGTGCAAATTCCCAAGGCTGACACCAAGAAACCCCACCTGCGACTCAAAGAAACATTGTAGGAGTGGGCTGCTCTTCAGACAGTAGCACCTTCACTCATCCAGGCGTCTCCTTCCTCCCATGACTGAAGGACGGACCACTTTGAAAAACCAGGGACTCTCCAGGGCCAGGTGTCAACGTGAACTTCAGCTGCCACACTGAACTTGAGGGTAAGGATCAGTTCAACACAGTCAAACACAGTCTGTCCTGCCAGGCCTGGGGAAGGCAGCTGGGCCAGGATTCCCTGCCTTCAGCCTGGCAGGCGCTGCAGCCTTTCCAGAGCTCGCTCATGGCAATTCAATGGCTTTTGTATTGTAGCAGCCTGAAGGAAGATTTCTCTGGATATCCTCCAGGTTCTTAATATCCGCCAGGATCTCATCAATGTTGCTTTCCAGTGTCCGCACCCGGGTCTTCTGCAGTGTGGCTGTTTGCTCCAGCTCCAACATTTCATCCTTCAGCTGACTGCTGCTGGTTTTGGCTTTGCTGAAATTCATCTCAAGCTGCTTCAAGCCATCCTCATCCACAGCACCAGGCTGGTCTGTTGCACAGGAGGAAAACAAGGAAGAGGGAACCTGAGGACTAGATATTTCTAGATACTTCAACTCCATTCTGCTACCCAGCCCGTTTACAGGCATTGGATTATTTTGCTTCCTGCGAAACTCCCAATACCCCTGCCTAGACCCCAGTGGGAACCCGCCTCCATCCATGCTGTACTGCAGCGTCACAAAACCTACTCATTAGATGCAGCAGCTCTTCCAGGGCACTCAATGTCTCCTGCACGACCACCCCTGCCCGTCCAGCTTTGGCATGGACCCTCTGAGCTTCCTGAGCTGTCTGGAGAAGGCAAGGCAGCACATGTAAGGTGATGTCTAGCCCAGAAGTCAAGGGGGAAGAGGGCAAGGTGGGGAGACAGGGACCCACCTCCTGTATCACAGCAGCATCCGCCTCAACCTCCAAGCTCTTCCTCTCAAATTCGCCATCCACTTCCTTGGCCTCGCGTCTTAGAGTGGCCACTGCCTTCTCCAGGGCAAGGACACCATCAGCTGTCTTGTTGGCTTCCACCTTCAGCCGTGTAATCTCCTAGGGAAGGCAAGGACACTTTCAGAGGAGCAAAGCATGGCTGAAATTAGTCTGGGTGCACCAGGGCATGGAGCTGGTGGAAACAGCTTCCTTCTACAGGGACTCAAAATGATCACAGGCTCTCCTGTATCCTTCATATTCTCGCACCACTTAGTTGCTCCAGAGAGTTGTTTCTGTGGCCATGGCTCAACCGCTCCTGCACACATCAGCAAATCCCTGGGGAATTACAACATACATCTGGGAGTTGAACCCACCAACACCAGTTCTGGGAGCTCTATAGTCTGCCACTGACTCAGACTGTGGAAAAATCCCCTTGATCACTGAAAAGTGGCCACAATGAGATGCTACAGAGTTCCTCAAGGGACAAAGGTGCCTGTAGACCTCCACATCCCCACCCCCCCCCAATCATCTACAGCCAACTCTGGTATCTGCAGGATCCACTGTAGTCAAATGTCAGCCCAAGTCAGCACATCAGGTCCACCATAAAGTTGCCAACCACCTCTTCTTCCATGGTTCTCCCTTCCAAACCCTTATCTCCTAGCAACAGCACCAGAGCCTGCCCTCACCTGCTGGATCCCCTTGGTGATCTCCTTTGCTTCCCCTGCTGTGCTTCTGGCCACCTTGGATTCAGAAGCAGCACTGCCCAGGATTGATTCAGCTCGGTCTGTCTTCTCCCTGGCACTTGTGACCATGCTGCTGATAATCGGTAGCCTCCTCATGGCATCTTCAGCTTCCCTTCTTTTGTCAGATGCTTGCAGGTTAAACTCTGAAAGAAACGTGTGTGGAAATGAAGCTGCACTACCTTTGCGAGGTACCACAAGGAAGGGGAAAGAAAGGGTTTCTAGACATTACCCCGGAGGCTCTTCAGGATCTGTTCCACCTCATAGAAGGTGGCATTGCCAGCGCTCACAGCTTGCAGGGCTGTGCTCTTGGCGAGGTTAGCTCGGGAGAGCAGCTGCGTCAGTGCCTGCAATGGGTGAAGAGGACACAAGAGGCAGATGAAGGACATGGTACAGGAACATCAGTCCCAGAGCAGTCTGAAAGGAACTGCACTGTGGGAGAAACCCCATCAGCCTGTTCCCAAGTGCCTGCTGTTGCCCCTGAATCATGGCTGCCGCAGCTTGATTGTCAGCAGAGGCTTGTGCTGGTGCTCCTCAACCAGCTCCAGCCATCCTGAGTTATCTTAGCTATAATCTTCCCAGAAGCAGGTCTTCAGCCTGCCTCATATGGGGGTGATATGCAGGTGAGACCCTGTAGCAGCCGCTCTGCATACACAGTGAGGTCTCCCACTGGCTCCAGAAGACCAGCCCCACGTGGCTGCCTTTCTGAGGAAGGGCACTGTCCTCAGCAGGAAGCAGAGCTGACTCCCCTTTGGCAAACAGGCTAAGATACCAACTAATAGTGGTGTTTTCCACAGGCATCCCACCAAGGCTTTCGCTCACACTGAAGATGACTCAAGCTGCAGCCCCCCAGGCAATCCTTTACCGCTCTCTTGCCCTCTCCCCGTCGCAGCAGCTGCTTGATTTCTTCCTCCCAGCGCCCTGTGCGGCTCTGCAGCTGCCTGTACTGTGCCATGTAGGTGTCCACCAAGCTCAGGAGAGCACTGGCATCCTGCTTCAGCCGGGTTGCCTCCCCCTGAAACACAGAGAAGCAATGACTGCCTGGATGCTCACCAGGAACCACAGCAAGCAGTGATAGATGCATTGCAGCCAGCTATGGGGACAGAAGGGTGGGAGGATGCATATCAAATGGCTCTTCAATGGGGACAGAGCTCTGGAAAGGGCTGAGTCACTGGTAGTGTAGCAGGGAAGGTGTAGGGGAGATCAAAAAGGGATCTCCTGGTCCCACAGGCACAAAGCCCTCACCTCAAAGGACCCAATGTCGGTCTTTGTCAGGCGGGACAGGGAGCTGAGGAGCACCAGGCTGCCCTGATGAGCTTTGTCTGCCTCAGAGGCCATTCCATCAGCCTCAGTCTTCAGGCCTCCAGCCAGCGACTTCAGGTCCTCATACCTGCATGGATGGGAAGTTTAAGAACATGGTACCAGCCAAACTGCCAACCTCCCATCACATTAATGCTGCCTTCTACATTGACTCATTAATGCTCTCCAAGACTTCATGAAGATTTATCATGCAGGGAAAGCAAATTGCAAGCATCCCCTGCATTCCAGCCCCTCTGTCAAACTGGGTGTCTGCTGGTTGCTTGCTCCCAACTCCAGAAACCAAGGGTGCTTCACACCAGCTGAACCCTCACAGGGTCCACAGTGGCTTCAGTAATCCCAATCCTAACCACAGGTTGTTTCCTCCCACACATCCCTGTTCAGCTTCTTAACTTCATTTAGGGCTGTTGCTCACACCCCTCCAGTGGTGTGCAAACTCCCAGCATCATGGTGGGCTCTGGAGAGACACCAGCCCGATCAGAAGAGCCACCCAGGCAACATGGGCTAAATCTACCTTTAGGCTAAACCCAGCCCAGATTTGCAACCACGTGTGAAAGTCATCCCCGGGAGCTTGTTCACACACAGGACATTAAACCCCTTTCCCCAGTCTCTGGCAGGCCTCTGGGAACATTATCATCTGTGGGGTTGGAAGCAGATGCTCCGCAGAGCTGCTCATCAGCATCAGCAATCAAAGTCCATCCAAGTCCCTGCCTGTTTTGCCTCTAACAACACATTTCTGCAACTCAGCTGGGGAGGCAGGGAAGGGGGCACAGACACTTGGCCACCCCCCTCCTCCCTCCCATGCCCCCCAGCTACCTGTGGGTGACCACAGCCCGCACTCACTTCCCTCGCAGCCCTTGCAGGGAGCTGGCTGTGACTGTCTCTCCACCAGCAGCCGTGCGTGCCAACTCCAGTGCCTGCCGCGTGTCCTCCCGTGCTGCCTTCACAGCTTGCTCAATGGTGTTGGCGGCTTGTGCATGGCTGCAAAGCACAGGGGGGTGCTCATGAGAAAGGATTCCCACCCCAGTTTTCTCCACCTTTAGCATTGTATTCAGCAATGCTTTTCCCTTTTAGGAAATACAGCACATTTGAGAAGGGAATGCATATTTTGCTTATCCCTTCTGCATATCCTAGGGGTAGAGGAGCATGAAGGGGAAGAAAGATGCTGCCTGTTCCCACTGGACACCCATGGACCAAACTCTGACCCTAAAGATGCTTCTAAACCACACCCAACTCTACCCTCAAAGGCTACTGAGGACAGCTCTGTAGGGCAGTGAAGCCAGCCCAGCAGCTGTATCTTCCCCTGCTAAAGGGCTGACACAGAGGTTGCAGCAGCTGCAGGCTGGTGGATAGGCAAGGACAACCTAAAAGAACCTTCTGGGTGCCTAGCAGGACCTCAGTCCCCCTTCTCACCTCTCTCTCAGCTGATGGTGGGAGAAACTCACCTGTTGGCCAGTCTCAGAGCCTCCTGGGCCAGCATCAAGAACTGATTTGAGCCCCCGGGAAGGTTTGAAGTGGGAAGGGTCTGGGAAGGGAGGAAGAGAGGCAGAGAGGCATGAGAGCTCTTTCCTACCCTCCATCTGATTCAGCAGTGAGAGGCAACTGCGGCACATTAAACCTCTACAGACCCCCAAAAGCAGCACCTCTCCAGTTCCCAGCCTTACAGGAAGGACCATCAGGATACCTTTAGCACTCACAAAACGAAGGTAATAACTGGAATACATTAAATTCTTCCCTTCCCCATGGGTTTTTTTCAGCTTTAGGCTAAATTAGGAGCATGTTGCATGAGGATGCTCTTACCATCTGACGCAGAGTGGCTCCACTGTGGTCCAGGTCCAGCCTGGCTCTCTCCAGCAGCTGCCGAGTATCCTGCACCTGCATCTCATACTGACCCCCAAGGGACCTCAGCCTCTCCACCGTTGCCTTGATCTCATCCAAGCGGCTCTGGGAAGTGGACCCTTGCCCCTTTATCCTGACCACACGGCTTTCCAGAGACCTGTCAGAAGCTGGTGAGAACGAAAAAGGAAGGCTGAAGAGAAACTCATCACTGAGCAAAAAGGCACAGGCAGCAAAACCCTCCTGATACAGCACAGATGGCCCCATCTGAGGGCAGCAGGTGTGTGGTACCTTGCAGGCTGAGGGCTTCCGCAAGAATGTTCCGCAGCATCTCCTCTGCCACTTGCATCCTCCCGTCCAGCTCCTGGCTCTCAGGCCCACCACCAGCTTGCACCTCTGAGAACAGCAGCTCCAGCTCCACCAGCTGCTGCAGGTACACATCCATCTGCCAACATAGTAGATCAGAACTTAGCCAGCAAGACATCAAACCCACAGTGGAAAGACCAGGGTGAGAACTAGGTCCACTGTCTGGCCAGAGGATGGAGAGCAAAGCAAGGGCTTTCTTTTGATGGGGCACAGCAGGCCGGCAGTACTAGGCCTTTTTTTTCTGTCAGTTGAATTGGGTACAAAATCAAAGCTCAGGCACAGCCTACAAAATTACTTCTCAACCACACCAGGAGGAGATGCTTGAGGAGGACATGCTTGGGGACAAGCATATCGCTGCACTCCCTGCAACTTAGTGGCCCTGGGGCTGGCACAGATGCTCACCTGGGCTTTCACCTGGCCATAGCAAGCCGGGCACTCACTCTCTTCACAGTTGGGACCCTCAAAGCCGGGCTTGCAGATGCAGCTCCCATCACTCCTGCACTTCAGAGGCTCAGCACCAGCCAAGTCACAGGTGCAGGCTGCAGGTCAGAGGGGTACAGGTTCAAAGAAGCCTACCACTCTCAAGTCTCAGCACATCCTTCCATCCACCTCCTGCTTTCCTCCCACCATTTAGCCCTGCCCTCTGGTTCTTGCTTCCTGATCCCACTCTCCAGCCTCAGCTGTTGTAACATCCCTCTTCCCATAAAGCCACTCTATGCTCTGGTGTGGATTTTCTTGCTCATCCCCAGCTCAAGCTGTGCCTGCATCTCACCTCTGCACTTGTCAGCAGGATCAGGGGCCAGGGGGTTCCCAAAGAAGCCGTCTTTGCAGCGGTCACAGTAGAAACCAGCAGTGTTGTAGATGCACTTGAGACACTCGCCCGTCTGGCGATCGCAGTTCCCCACGGCGTTAGGCTCCACGTTGCCATTGCACTGGCATGGCTGGCAGGGCCGGGAAGCTGCTGGGTCTCCAAAATAGCCATCAGCACAGTACTCACAGCTGGCCCCTGGGAAAGGAGAGATGAGGAGAAGCTCATGCTCTTGCCCGGAAGGCAGAGGCTGCCCTGCTTCTTCTGCTCCACAGAAATGGGGGTGGTTCAGCCCAATAAGGTTCGGCACAACAGGTTCTCCACTCTCCTTACTGCCAAAGCCAATGCACAACACACCAGACAGGCTCTCAAAAGCTGTGTAACAACTGACTTCAGGCAAGCCATTTTCTATTCCCATTCCCCACAGACCCTGCCCCGTTTCTCTATTCCCCTCCCTCTCCACCATCCTTTTTCCATTCACATTTTCTGTATAGATAAGAACTTTTCCCAGGGCAGGTAATGTGTGTTTACACAACTCTTGGGGGTGAAATACCCCAGAGAGGCTGGAGCAGCAATGTCATAGGCAAGCCAGGATGAGAAGATGGGATGATCCACCCAGCTGCAAGTATCCTGGCTCACAGATGCCTGCATCTTCCAGTACATAAGGCAGAAGGTCTGGAGAAAGGCAGAGCAGAAGTGGCTTGGAGAAGTGCATTACCAGCAGCTCCAGGAGGGCAGCTGTCACAGATGACCTCCTCACCGCCTGGCACCAGCGAGCAGCCTTGGCCATTGCCACAGGGGCATGCCCTGCAGCTGTGCAGCTGCCGCGGGTCTCGGTAGAAGCCAAAGGGACAGCTGACACTGTTGGCCACATTTTCATCTCCTGAGTAGCATTCACCTGAAGGAGGAAGGAAAGAGCTCAGGGCACTTTGCTCTCACTCCTGGCAGAGCACCCTCCTCCACTTCACCTCCTGGCCACTTTTCACCGGTGGTCATGCCACCCACTGCAGCACAAGCTCCTGTGGTCCAGCATCCTCCACTGGACCCCTCAGGATTTCCATGCCTGCCCATACCCACTTCATTTCTCTGCCCATCAGTGCTTCATTACATGAGAAGGACCATGCCCAGCTCCTGCAATGGGATCCCAGTGAGGCCTCACCGAGAGTCCATCCCAAGGCAGGAAGGCTGGCTATAACCACACAAAGGTGGCTGTATCTCCTTTTTCACAGCTTGTATAGCTCCTAAGGAGGCATGTATTGCATTGTGCCTCCTGTTCAATGCTCAAATATTTGGAAATTCCAGTTCAGACTTGGAAAATACTGAGTTTAACTTTGCATTACTTTGGCTTTACATGACAACACTGTGGGCTATTTTAACAAGGTACATAGTAGATATAGTATGTAGATATTTCTGATGTCTACTCATGCCATAGAATATCACAGATTCATAGCATAGTTTGGTTTAGAAGGGACCTTTAAAGGTCATCTAGTCCAAACCCCCTACAAGGGAGTCCTACCCAAGCAGTAGAGGATGCTTTTTCTCCCTCCAGTGAGCACCATCTAAACCCAATTTGATTCAAATCGCATCTTAACTGTATTTTTGAATGCAGCACTTCTAGGCCTTGGGGCATTTTGTCCAGGATGTTGCCTACACTGCAGCCTCCCAGGTCAATAATCTTGCCCTACTCAGTGCCCCCACACTCCCTACAGCTCTGTTTTCAGGCAGCAGCCCTGTGATCCCATACCCCCACAAGCACAGTGTGGAGATGGCTTCTCTTACCGGTGTCAGGATCACAGATTCCTCCCCCGTGGCAACTGCATGGCACGCAGGTGCTGAAGGGCCCCTGGCTGGGGGCATCTCTGTGGTAGCCAGGGGCACACCTCTCGCAGAACTGTCCCTGGTATCCTGCCGGGCACTCGCAGCGCTCCACCCAGGGAGCGCGCACTCCGGCAGTGGGTTGTGCCGACACCAGGGTGACGTTGTCCAGGTAGCCGGTGCCTGGAGGGAGGTACAGCCGGTCGGTCACCCACACCCAGGTCTCGCGCACATCTCCTGTGTCACTACAACACCCGCAGGCTTTGCTGCCCCCACTGTTGCCATCCTACTCAATCTCTTCATAATTTAATTTTGTCTATCCTAGGGAACTTCTAAAAGTATTATTATTTTTTTAATACCTTTCAGCAAAGGTGTCTCTCTCGGAGACTTTGCATCTCCAGCAGTGAGAAGAAGCTGGCCTTGTGCATGCAAGCTCTCCCTCACTTACTGTACTCCCCAAAGGTGGCTCGGATCCAGAGCGCTGTCAGGTTTCCCAGCAGCCTGCGATATTCAAAGTGATTCAGCCTTGGGCTCCACTTGCTGCTTGGGTGTTCATCCAACCTGCCCGTGGGAGGGGGGAGAAATGAAACCGGTTTCTAAGAAAATGAGATGCTTCATCAAGAACATATGGCAGCCCTCGGCTGTCTCTCTCCTGAGTTTAAGGTTCTGGGAAACCACCTCCACCCATGTGACTGATCCAAGCAAAATATCCAGCCCAACCTTGAAACAGGCTTTTCTACTGCCCCTCTCACAAAGTAACCTCCTCCAGGAGAGAAGCACCCGAGATACATCCAGCCCAAACTGAGCAACTCTTTGCCACGTCCAAGAGACCACAGCTGAATCCAGGAGCACCTTCAAGCTGCAGCCTTTCTTGCTCACACAGCCGCAGATGCCAAGCATCACCCTTTACCTGAACGTGTATGTTTGGCTGACACCACAGGGCAGAACCTTCTCCTGGGGCAAGAAGGGGGCCGTGATTCTCAGGCCATCTCCTTCCAGGACCACATCGTAAGGAGATGGCTGGCGTCCCCCTCGGTCCAGGCGGTAATCAAAGGACAGCATCTGCCCATAGCTCAGCTGCTGGTTCCCGAGGAATTTTGCTGCAAAGGGAAGGAAGGGAAAAAATTAAAGGCTTAAAATCTTGCCTTCCTCCTGAAAGCTCACTTCATGGGATCAGACCAAGCAAAGCAGACATCATCAGCTCAATCCCTCATTCATCCCACACCTACGGGGGGCCACGAAGTATGTAGGTTCTGATCTCCTTGCTGCTATGAAGGCATCCTGATGGCTTGGGGACCACTGAAGTTGGGCTGGGGAGCCGCCTTCATGAATACCTCGCCAGTCTTCTGCACCTGGAGCACCAATAAGGAGCAGTCAGTGGGGGCAGGGAAGGCGTTTCCAGGACTCCAGCAACTTCCTAAAGCTCTCTTTTATCAAACCCTTTGGTTTCCTACCCCTTGACCTCCAAGGGAGCAGCACAAGTATCTCTGTGCTGATACATCTGTAAATAAGTCAGGCTGGGTATAGAGGTTTCCCCCCAGGTGGCAGGAAAGATGCAATAAAGCAGCCCATGGCTCCCTCCCTCCCTTCCCAGCCCCTACTTCTGCCTATGATCAAGCCATCCCACCCATCGAACCACAGCTACTCCAGTGGGGCTGTGAACCAGGCAGCTACTGCATGCTGCTTGTTGAATAAAAGGGATGGCAAACACCCCCAGGAGCCTTAGGGCTTCACCTTGCTGGAAGGTGGAGGTGATGTTGTAGACGCTGTGGTTGTCTGCACTGATACACACAGCTGAGTGTCCATAACAAAAGCAGGGGGAGCATCCTGCAGGGTTTCTGCCATCCAAGTTATAGAAGTTTCTTTTGCACCTGGGAAAGCACAAGAAGGTGACAACATTCAAGTCTGCCCAACAGTCTGACAACATTCCTGCCCAACACAACCAGCCCTCTAACAACAGCTGTGCAACACAGCCATTGCCATGGTTCAAAGTCATCAGCAGGCTGGGATGGTGAGATGAGCACGTGCAGCTGTGGGGGAGATGCAGAACATGCCCCTCAGTAGTCCAGCATGACACCCACCTCTGCTGACACCCACCTCTCGCACCGTGCTCCGGTAGTGCTCGCCTTGCAGACACAGCGGCCGGAGAGGCAGTCCCCTGTGCTGCCAGCTGGGTCACACGCACACTGCAGGCTCCTGCAACAAGGACAGCAGGAAACTCTACCTGGATTTCCAGCTTGGCCTGGGAGCTCAGTGCCCGAGATGTTATACAGGACAGCAGAGACATCCACCCCACAAGTACCAATCCCATGCTAGAAGGGGACAAATAATCACCGAAGCCATCTAAGTAATTCACCTTCAGCAGTATGGGATGCCAGGCTGAGACAGTGCCCAACACTACCACCCCAAAGCACCAGATTCAGCTACAAGAGCAAAGTAAAGCTCTGCTGAGCTCAGTAAGCCCTGGATATGTTTAAAAGACCCCGGCTGAGCTCCAACAGGCAGCAACACCCCAAGGAGGCTCGGGCAGGAGACCGATCATGGCAGACCACCCCTTGCCCCGACCATTTGCTCTCCAAAAGACCAATGGCAGAGTGAAGCAAAGAAGAAGACAGGACACAGCACTGAGGAAGCCAAACCAGAAATGCTTCGAAAGGTGTTTAAACAGGGCTCCCTGCAAAGGAAGGGGTCGATTTTTGCATGCACATCTTTGCATGGGGCCAGTCCTTGTGAGCAGCACTGACACAGCAGGACTGATGTGTGGGCAGGTTTTGTTTGACATCACCTAGCCTGTCTGTTGAATGTCTGACATTATATGGATAACAAAGCAAATGCCTCAGAGAATGGTTAAGCTCAGATTTCGGTGCTATTGTGCAACAGTGAGCTCTGGAGGCTGGAATGGAGGTTCAGCCCTGCTTGAGCCTGCCTTCTCACAGCAAGGTTACCTTAAGGCTATCAGTGTGCTGCCACACACAGACTGCCTCTGCCCTTGCTTTTCAGCCAGCACAGGCTCTTTACAGCGGCTGGAACAGCTCTGGGAACCGGTCCTCCAGCAGTCCCTATGCAACTTATGGTCACCAGCACTTACTGCCCACTCCTCTGGCACCCAGCCTCAGAGAGGGACTCAAAACCTGGTTGGCACTGGTCACATTTCTTGCCCATCACTCCGGGTTTGCAGCTGCACTCGCCATCACTGTTGCACTGTGGGCTGAGGGCACCTGCAGAAAGAGGGCAAGAGGTTTAAATGGACACCTCCCCACACCTGCCCAGCAATGCTGCTACAGGACAGGAGAGCAAAGCGTCACACCATCACTGCAGCAACAACCCAGCAACAGGTATCCCCTTGAGATCCCGGCACAGGGCTGAGACACGAGGTCTGGCTGTTACAGCTGCTTCAGCTTCCCCAGCTGAGGCAGGAGACTTGGAAAAGATAAATCCCTGCAGGCAGTGACCAGATGCCCAGGACAAGGATCCTCTTTCCTGCCATAAAGGTCATTGTGGAGGACAAGACTGAGTCCAGGGCATGAAAACCAAGCACAGAATGTTTTTCTTCTCTGCTAGCCCCTCTGCTAGTAGACATAGGTAGCACTTGATTTGGTGCCTCTACAAGGATTCTATGGGATGAAGGACCATTGCAGAATCTTTGATTTCTAACCATCTAACACATGTAAGCACCAAGGAGAGAGGATGCCAGAGCCAAGGGCCCTGGCCTGCAGCTGGGCCCTCCCTGCATGCCAGCAGGGGTGTCAGACAAGCAGATATTCACCCTCCTCCCACCCCCTTAAGGCCTATTGCTTTGTCCTCTTGCCACCTGTTTTTCTTGTGCAGATGGTGCTTCCAGTGATCTTCCTGCCTTAACAGAGACCAACAGGCATTTCAAAATCTACAGCACCTCAGTGCAAGATATACAAGCTACCTACTGCAGAGCAAGCCAAAACATGATGAGGATGAAGGAGCCATCACATCTACTGTGTAAGCACCGCAAGACCCACAGAAAACAAACACCCCAGTCAGAAATCCCATCCAGTAGCCCTGCAGCCTGCAAAAAGCTGCCGGAGGAGGTGGACAGGCTGAAGGTTCCTATCAGTCCCCAAGCGCCACAGCACTTTGCACCACCTCCACTCTCAAGGTGCAACACTGTGAACTCAGGAACTGTCCCTTCACTTTGACAATGCAACTGAAAGCCTTTGCAGAGCCTGCCAAACACTGTGGCACTGAGGAAGCACCAGCATGACTCAAAGAGCTGGCAAAAGCTGACACTTCAGTGTTAGGGTTTGGCCACTGTCCTTGAGGATGGCAGCTGGAAAGGGAAAGCAGCTCCCTACAGAGCAAATCCTGGTAGGCATCAGCAGGTTCATGGCCACCAGCCAAATATAAGGCAGGGCAGGGCAGAGCAGAGCAGAGCAGGGTCCCTCTCAGTGAGGCAGGTATTGTTGATAGAGGTGCTGGAGGGAAGAGATGCCATCCAGAGGGACCTTGACAGGCTGGAGGAGCGGGCCCATGTGAACTCATGAAGTTCAATAAGGTCAAGTGGAAGGTCCTGTACCTGGGTCAGGGCAATCCCCAGTATCAGTACAGACTGAGGATGGATGAACGGAGAGCAGCTCTATGGAGAAGGACTTGGTGGTACTGGTAGATGAAGAGTTGGACATGAGGCAGCAATATGCATCTGCAGCTCAGGAAGCCAACTGTGTGCTGAGCTGCATCGCCAGCAGCATGGCCAGCTGGTTGAGCGAGGTGATGCTCACCCTCTACTCCACTCTCATGTGACCCCACCTGGAATACTGCCTCCAGCTCTGGGGCCACAGACCCTGCTGGAGTGGCTGCAGAGTGGGCCATTGAAATGGTCAGAGGGCTGGAACACCTCTACTATGGAGAAAGGCTGAGAGCATTGAGTTTGTTCACCCTGGAGAAGAAAAGCCTCCGGGGAGATGTTACTGGGGCCTTTGAATGTACAGAGGGGGATCAATATATAAAGGTGAGCTTCACAAAGGCTTTTAATTGTATTGTAAAAATGAAAGGATAATTCTTCAGCTCACAGTGCTGTGCCTCAGGAGGGGAAATGGTACAAACAGAGACTTTTTACCAGGGCCGGTAGTGACTGAACAAGGGGCAAAGGTTTTAAAATGAAAGACAGAAAGTTTAGATTGGACATAAGGAATAAAAGTTTTATGCTGTGGGTGGTGGGACTTGGAGCACAGCTGTGGCTGCCCCATCCCTGAAATTATTTGAGGCCAGGTTCGATGGGGCTTTGAGGAACCTGCTCTAGTTAAAGGTATCACTGCCCATGGCAGGGGGTTTAGACTAGGTCATCTTTGAAGATCCCTTCCAACGCAAACCATTCTGTGATCATTTCTGGGGGCAGGTGGGTCTCAAAACCTGGACATGGTCTGGAGTTGCTAAGGGGTTCAAAACTCCCAGCACAAAGCAGTGAAACACTCAGGAGGAGGAGGTGCTCCTATGACTTGGGGTGCAGCAACACAGAACTGGGCTCTGTCACCTCCCCAGACGATCCCACCTGGAGTCAAGCCAGCCCAGTTTGTTTCTCCTGCTATGCTCTGGTCAGATGTGTAGGGACCCAAAGGCCAGACCAGTCCATGTGCTCAACAGGGCCTAAGGACACACATGGCAGCAGGCACTCGGCCGGCACTGTAAGCCCTACTACACCTCTGTCCCAACCATGTCCCCGGCAGACAGACACGTACCGTGTGGGTGGCAGCGGCAGGGCAGGCAGCAGTCCTCCTCCCGCTGGCGGAAGAAGCCCTCCTTGCAGCGCTCACAGCGGGCACCCTCCGTGTTGCCCAGGCAGCCAAGGCAGCGGTACCCATTGCCTGTCTGCCTCAGGAGGTCCCAGTCGAAGATGCACTGCCTGGACATCCCGTTGCAGTCACACACTGGGGAGAGGAAAGGGACACCTCAAATGATGCTTAGAGATGAGGGTATCAGCCACAAAGCCATAAGCCCACCCTGATGGCCAAGGAACAAGCCCAGGTAATGCAAAAGTCTCCTTCTTGCTCTGGTAATAACAAGCCCTGTCCCCATGTCTCTGAACTTGTCCACCAGACACCCATGTGCCACTGCTGCCCATGCTGTGCCCTGCATCCCTTCACTTTGGAGTGATGCCCAATTTCACTGCCAAAACAGCTCAGGATGGCCACCCCCCACAGGCCAAGGAGCCCCACTCCACAGCACAACATGGCTTCGTGGAGGCCTTACAACACAAAAAAGTCTTTGAGTAAGCAGGGGTGGCAAAAAAACAAAACAAACCAAACCAAAAAAAAACCAACCCAACCCAAACTTGGGTTGTCCTGAGAAAAGCATGAGTAATCTTGATGATCTTGAGAACTTGATGATCTTAAGGTCCTTTCCAACCCTAACTATTCTATGATTCTATGAATCTTACTGGTGACTTCAGGGAAAAGGGAAGGATCCCTTAGGTTATGTTTTGCTTCACCCAGCCTCTAACCAGGAGTGAGCCCAGAAAGAAAAGCTCAGCCAACATCCACCAGGTCTCTCCATCCAGGCTGGCAGCACAAGTGTCCTCCCAGCCAAGTGCAGGGGTGATAAGGAGGGGTTTGTGACCAGAGGAGCTTGGCAGAAGTGTGCCAGCCAACAGGCAGATTAAAACAAAAAGAAGGTTTTGGCAGGATTACACAGGTCATCTCACCCACCCTGCCCAGGAAACAAAGCTGCAGCTGCCCACATCACTGCATGACAGATGCCAGGAAGAACAGGCATGGGATTTTGCATCCTAGCACAACCAGGACAGACAGGGCCTCTGAAGAGCGCGCTCCAGCACTCTTCATTGTCTTGCCCAGGTCTTCTCCTGAATCCATCTCTCACCTATTTGGCAAACCCTCAGCGGCCAGTACTAGAGTGTTTAAATCCAAGAACCTTTATCTCAGATGAGCTCCTCAGTGCCACTGAGGAGAGCAGGCACAGTTGAAAGAATAGTTGGCAAAGACAAGCACAAGAAAAACACCCTGAGGGAAAAGGCAGTTTCTGCAGGGATACAGAGCTTGCTGATGAAACGATCCAAACTACCCCAGCTCAGGTCACCTCTGACAGCACAGGGAGGTGGAGGAGATCTAAAAGCAAGCAGAAACCTGCAGCATGGATGCAGGCAGCACATTGTACTTGACACCCGTGCAGGCTCCTCCTTTCAGCACTCCTGGAAGAGCTTAGCCAGAGGATACAAGTTCCTGCCCTCTGCATCTGTGATTGCAGGGACCAGGCACAAGCTGCTGTGCTCATCGCCCAAGCATGCACCCTGGGCACCGCCCGCACCCTCGCACACACCCATGAACACCCGCATACCAGAGGAAGGTGTTCAGCCAAGCCTGCTGCCAAGAACAGGGGTGACCTCATGTGCCAGCAAACATGGGGAGAGATATTCCTAGCTCTGGCAAACATGGCTCTTTCCTTGCAGCCTGGCTGCTAGGAGACCAGGAAGGTCTTCTGCTACCCCAGCCTGCAGGGAGAGGACTTATAGGTGCAGAAGTCCTGTCTTTTAGGGTATGAGAAAGCATCTAGAGGCTCAGGGGACATCACCAGTGACCAGACAACATGAACATCCCACCAAGAGGAGCAGCACAGGACTTTCTCAAGCCATCTGTGCTCACCTTCACAGACAGACGGCTTGGGGTCAGTCCCACCCCCCTATCCCTCCACACTAAAGCTTGTTGGAAGTGACACATAAAGATCATTGAGTTAAACCCCATCCATGTATCACCCTAAATCTACGTAATCTGGAGGATTTACTGAGTTGATGAATTACAGGCATGAGCACCATTCCCCCAGGGAACAAAAACCCTTTTGCAGGTCTTGCTCTAAGGCTGCAGCACGTTCAGTCTGCTCTCCAGCCCTGGCATGGATTCAGGTCTAATCAGAAGCCATTTAAGATGGTGTTGTAGATTAGTGCCACCACCCCACGGGTGTCTATGTTCCTGTTGCTGGTCTTCTGGAAACCTGAGCTCAGGCAGGTTAATCCTTACCAAGAGTGGGGCGCTGGAGTTGCTAATGAGACAGAGCACTCGGGACCAACTGAGGACAGGATCATTTTTGTGTCCAAGTGCCCTGAGATTTCCCAGACAGCTGTGAAGAACAGGCTTCACAGAGGAGAAGCTTTGCAGCTGGATGTCTTTAGGGCTGTGTTAGGATGAAGGAGACCTGTGGCATGCATCCAGCAGGACATCACTCCCTCAGTTCCTGCCCAGCTAAATGAAGTGCAAAAAATGTTTTCTGTGTTGAGACAAATTCCCACATCAGAAAGACTTGGAGAAGCAGACAGGCAGCTCTGCACCTCTGAAATGGCCTTAAATTCACAAGACCAGAAAATGAGGTTGGCCCTGGGTCTGCAAGGAACAGAACCCAGAGCCCTGTGCATATGAGCTGGTCTGCAAAGACTACTCCTTTTATCAAGAGAACAACAGAGCTTTGCACACAACAAAGGCTCCACGACAACACAAGCCATTCCCTGCTCTGTGCTTTTGGGTCAATGACCCACCAGGCTGTCCCATCTGTTACTCTCAGTCCTGGGTTTCCCCATCACCCAACTCCACAGCTTTCTCAGTGCAGGAAGATCTGCCTGGAGCTCCCGGGGCTCCGTCAGCATCAGCAGGGACAGACCATGCACCAGGAAACAAAAGCTGCCATTTGGTGTCTCCTTTCCAACACACCAAATCGGACACCTCATCAGCACATCTGACCTCCACTCCCCAGCTCTTCCCTGAACCCTGGGACACCCCTTCAGCCATCATGTGCAGGCACACCACTAAGGCAAACACACTTGCTTGGGCAAAGCTCTGCACAGGTCAGAGTACAAGCACCCTGACCTCTGCCACTCGACCAGATCATACATGAACCCAATTTGACTCAAACATTTGCAAGCAAAACAGGATCGTGTGTGCTAATTACAAGCACACATCCAGCACCACAGAACAGCATGGGAGACTAATTTACACCTCCCAAACAAACTCAGAAAGTCTGCTGCAGCAGAAGCGCATGGCCACTTATTGGCTGTCCCTTTTACGTATGTGTAGAAAGAGGTTCAAGAGTCCATGGAAAAGCAGCAACCTACACGCTGCCAGGAAGGAGCAACTGCAACATCAGTATTTTAAAACTTGTGTGCAATTAAGGCTGCTATAATAATTCTCCAAGCAGCACGTAAAGCCAATCAGGTCTTTAAAAAAAAACACACCAGCCCCCCAAAACCCACCCCAAACCCAAAACAACAATTACAAAACAAACCACCGAAACACAACAGAGAACACCCAGACACACTGAAAAAAAAAAACAACACAAAACAAAGCCCAAAATAAAACAAACAAACAAAAAAAAGACAAAACAAAAAGCCACAAAAAAAAACCCCAAAAAACCCACAAAACCCCCACTTATTCAGTACTTTCCCGCCCATCACATTGCACTGCACTTAGAACGGATGAAAGACCAACTTCACTCCAGTGAGCGTGTTTCAGAACATGAGTACTGCAAACAAAATAAATTGAAGTATCTCAGTATTTACAAAATCCACACTAAACCAATTTTGACCAAGCATACCCAACTCCAGACTATGACCAACACAACTGGTACTGAACTACCACTGGGCTGAACATGCTTAAACATCCTTGCACTGCACCCTCCGCTGCAACTGCACGTGCAAGAGGGAACTGCATTTATAAAGCTTGCCATCGGTCTGTGTTCCATGGGAGACTCCCGCCTCCCACAGTGGGCAGCTTGCGAGCCCCACGGACTCACACAAAATACACACACCACACACACTGCAACAGGAAGCAGGATCCTGGATGCCACCAGCTCTTCCTCAGGCTTAGAGAAGGTTTTGGCTACAGCAGCAGTGGGCAGATCAGCCACCCGCTCCCTGGGCGATGCTCATGCTCACACCCGAATCCCACCCAAGTAGCAAGGCTTTATACAGAAAGCGATAAAGTAATTGCACATAAATAGTTCTTTAAAGGGGATGCCAGTGAAAAAATAAAGTCTAAATGCTCACGGGATATTTAACCCTGGAGGGAATTTACGGAAAAGAACCTACTAAAAGGTCCAATTTTAATCCCAAAGGCGGGAGGGGATAGGACCCTAGCAGGGTGCTGCAGCACCCAGACGGCTCCCAGTTACTGGCCCTGGAGCAGGGATGCGAGCAAAGCCGCTGGCGGGACCGCACATCAGCGTGAAAGCAGGAACCGCCGACCCTCCCGGAGCCTCACCTTCCTTGCTGGTGCCCAGGGCTGCGGGCAGGACAGCCGCCACGAGGCAGCAGAGGGGCAGGAGCCAGGACCCAGCCATTCCTTGTGCTGGGGAGCACGGGGCGCCCGCTGCAGCAGGGATGCAGGGCTCGCGCCGGCTGCCTTTTTTCCGCGTGGTTTTTATCGGCTGCTCCACCTGAGTCACTCCCCACAGGAAGAGAGCGTGTGCCGTGGGCTGACTCACCCGGCCCGAGAGCCCAGCCCAGCCCAGGCGGTACGGGCAGGAGCCCTCACACGCACCCCATAGGCGCATCGACGGGATCTCCTGCCCGCACCTTCCATGAGGGGGGTTAGCTCACAGGGAAAGAGAAACCGCAGCCCCTGCAGACACCCCTCCTGCCCTTGCGGCTCTCCACCTCTATCCCACCCCCTGCCGCTGCCTCCAAGGGCAGGGCACCGGTGCTGGCGGCGGAGAACCGGGCTGCCCGGGCATGCAGGCAGCTTGCAGGGAGCTAACTGGAACACGATGAGCTCATGAGAAGCCTCAGGAGGGTGGACGAGGAGTGCCTGCTCACCAGGTCCAGACAACCAACCTGCAAGAGCAGAGCTCAAAACCAGCCAGAAGTGACTAGAAGGACCCAGAGCAAAGGGCTACTGGGGTGAAGAAGACCTCAAGGACAGCTTAGATATGTACTCAGAAAGCAGATCTATCGGGACTTATAAGGACAAGCATCAAGTTCAGGAAATCCCCAGATTGGAGGGTGGAGGCCCAGAATCATCACGTTTGTCTGCTTTTACTCCCTTACTTACTGTCATGGGACACCTACTGTCACAAATGACTGCAAGGGATCCATGAGCATCTTTAGATAGAATGAAGGCACCTAACAAATTTGTACCCCCATCTAAGACAAGTTGCCTTTCAGGTCACTTTCTGCATTAGGGTCTGAAACTCAACACAACGGGTGCTGATAGTCTGCTCCTTCCAGAGCTAACAAACCTCTGGTGATTAACATTTAGGTTCTCATCTTTGTCTCTGACGCTGCCCAACAGCCTCCAGACAGTCGTGCACCTGGAGCTGACTCAGAGGGCTTTCCTCCTGGTGATCTCATGGGTGCAGCCAGGCTGAATTCACCGTATCTCCACCAAGCTTACCTGGCTCCACTGACTGAGTCAACACTCTTCTATAAACAAACTGTTTCCTCTTAATTTCACACACTGGATCTCATTATAGCTCACACCAACAAAGGCAGCTTTATGAATATGCCGGTGGCATGCTGGGGTTTGGCACCCAAGGTTGTCATATCTGACTTTTTGTTTTCTTTTTAAGAGTGAGATGAAGCCACTTGTAGTGTTCACAACAATTTGGCAGCTCTTAGGGTCTGCGTATTCCTCTAAGGAAATACACTTAATCCCTTCTGCTCTGAACTATGTCGTTTGCCCCAAACACCTCTGCTACATCCTTCCCACCCACCGACACTCAGGAAACTCATCTCCTTCAGCAGCACAGTACAGCAATTCCCTTGGACCTTGACCCAGTTCAAGTTCTTGGCTGATTTCTCTCTTTGAAAACCAGTTCTGACCATCAGGAAAGTGTTCCCTGATGTGGCTCCTCTGTATTATCCCTTCTATTTCACTGTTACCACCCCACCTCTTACTTCACTTGTGCAAACAAGGAACTCATCCAGCTCTCTCTCCAGTCATTTTTGCATACTTACTTAGGTTACTCTTACCTTGTCATCCTTCCACCATTCTTCAAGATTACCTCTGAAAGCCACATGAATGCATGCTATGAGACTATCAAAAATGTATTTTCTGGAGCCCTGATTTTCTAAACACACCAGATTTGGAGCAAACAGATGTCCACCACCCTCCACAGAGCAAATGTTGGGACCCTTGGGACCTGCCTGCTGATTGTGATGGGGATCAGCATGTTGGCACACACACAGAGTGTGTTTTACCTACCACCATTTTGTCTGATCCCAAAAGTTAAGCAGAGTCAGGTTTGGGTCTTCTCTGGGATTAGACGATGATACGGGAAGACCAAGAGGTTTTCCCCAAGGCTGGACAGTCATGAGTGGCAGGGCGTGTGGGACAGTATGGGTGAGTATCTAGTCCACTGGACCCCTCCAGTGCTTTGGAAACATTGGAGATGGAAGGCAGCTGTATGGAGTCCCCAGCAACAAGTTGCAGTAACTGCTGGAGGGGACAGTGAATTATTTTGAGCCTGGTGGGCCCATGGCACTTCAGGTCATCAGGGCAGAGATGCAACATAGAGATGGACTCATGATCGAGGGGTGGACTTAGCAATGGACATTATTGCCCAGGTTATTCACAAGTGTGAACACTGCACACAGCCTCTCCTGCTCTGAAAGACTGTTACAAGAGATGGAGCCTGACATTATGGACCAGATGGACTCAGCAGCTTTATAGGGACTGGTCCATGCACTAAGATAAGAGTGCGCTGGTATATTGTTTGGTCAGGCAGGGGGGGCGAGTTATCGGTTGGCTGGTGCTGAGGTGTTGTATTCTCTTCCCCTGTTATTTAATTTATCATTATTATTGGCGGTAGCAGCAGTGATTTGTGTTATACCTTAGTTACTAAACTGTTCTTATCTCAACCCGTGGGAGTTGCATTCTTTCTGACTCTCCTCTCAGTCCCTCTGGGAGTAGGGGGAGGGCGGGAGTGCGTGAACAAGCTGTCTGGCTGGGGTTAAACCAGGACAAAATCTTACTTTTGAGAGTGAGCAGAAGCATAAGCAATGGGAGGCATGAAAGAGTAGTGGTGCTCATCAGACACTGCAATGAATCAGTATTTCTTCACTAGAGAAGCCAGCTCTTTACATTTGCAACATAAAGAGTCCTTGTGAGGATGCCCTATGCTCACTCTTCATAACGGAACTAAGCAAGCTGCTACTGCAAGGAGACCATCACAGTGGCTAGCAGGTTTATCAGTCCTTGAGGACATGGCCATGGCAGAATTTATCACTCCAAAGATAGTCTGAATCCACATAATATTCTGAATTTCACTGGTGGTTGCCAGTGGCAAGTGATGGATGTGTGAAAGCCCTAGAGTAATAGGGCTTTTATTGTTTTATTGATGTAACTAAGGGAGAAAACCTGTTTTGGTCGCTCATGGTAGATAAAGAACCTCAGGACATCATACATATCCTTGCAGCCCAGCTCATCCCTGGCACCCCTAAGCCTCCCTCTTCAAGGAATCTTATGAGCTGCAACATCCTCCTGTAACTTCAGCTCTGGAACGCTTCTGCAGGCAACCTTTGCTTCTCCTTCAGGGTTTGTTGAGTGGCTTATCTCAAGCTATTCTCTGTTTGCTTGCCCAGTGCTCTTGCCACTACATGCACACACCTACTTACCACCAGCCTCTTCCAGCCTGAGGAGTTCCTCCCTCAGTCTGGCAGCAGACCTTTATCCTGCCAGCAGACCTTCTTTATCCTGCCAGCCATGACTTCCCTGGCATGGAAAATCAGGGGTCCTACCACACCAGTATTACCAAATGCACAGCACAGCAATCAAGCCTGGACTTGAGTCCCCCCTCTGCCAGTTTGGTGTCCTAGGCTTCTCAAAGCAGGCTTAGGGCCAGCAGGTCAAGCCACCTCCCCCATGAGTGCATGGAGGTGTTACCTTGACACAGTGCTATTCCCACATGGACGATCTGTTTTATAACCCAGGATTTAAAGCACAGTGATATTATCAGTTGACCATTTGGAAAGAAAAAAAAATAATAAAAGCACATACCTCCTCATTGCTCAGGAACACATGGGCTTCCCTCTGGCGCATTTTGGGTTTATGGCTGGTTTTGGTGGGTCTAGAGGAAATTAGACAGCTGCAGGCAGCCATTGCTCAGGGGTGGCCAAACTCCAGCTGTCCATCAGGGACACTGGAACAGATATCCAGGCAGAGACAGAGTCAGGCAGTGGGATGTACGGTTCATGGGGGAGCACTGCCCTGCCCAGGTCACAGCAGCAGTGGTGGTGGTGAGCAAGCGGGGCAGGGCACCAGTAGCGGCGCAGCAAGGAAGTGCTCTCATGTCTGTCCTTGCCTTGCCTAGGCCCTGCCTGTACCAGCAAGGGAGCAAGACAGACACATAGAGATAAGGGAAGAAAGCACTGCCGTCCCACCTCTCTGCTGGTTTTCGCTGGGCACCTCCATGGGATTTTGTTTTTATGTGGCACTGCTGATGTTTGTCAGGTGTGGCCCCACTGAAGGTACTGGCCCAGCAGTTACCTAGAAAGATGAACCAGAATGTGGTCTAAGACACCAGGGCTATAGATGGGGAGCATAGGACACTGACAGCTCAGCATGACAGCTGTATGTCCCTCTTCTCCTTCCTCAGATCCACATGGACACGTTAGAGCTGTATCCTCCAAGTTTGCTCCCAGCAGTTCCCAACTCTCTGCTCCCTCACTGCTACCTGCAGTCCCGCTGAAAGATCAGGATCTGCTCAACAGCAATGTTGGTAAAAAACCAAACAAACAAAAACCAAACAAGTGAACAAAAAACACCAAACTCACAAAATCAAGCAAAAAAAAAAACAGCCTCTGAAAAAGAACTAGAAAGGTTTTTTTAGACAGCAAACGCATTAGTGGCAATTAGAGTTGAAGAACAAAGAACAAAAAGCTGAAGCTAGAAAAATGGAAATACAAGAAATAATAAAGTTGCAAACTGACACGGGATCAGCTCTGGTGAAAATTAGTGAGACTAATGTGCATTTTCTTCTACTGAGAAAACTAAAGGAATCTTGTGTGCAGCTGTAAGAGAGGTGTGATTGCAGAACTGCCTAGTCTCTTATCACAGTCATCTGTTCTGACATTTAAAACTTGCTGAACTCGGGAATAAAATTTATCCCAATCTCTGGCAGACAGGACCCATAGAACAACACTGAGTACACCAACTTATGGTAGTTCCCAGTAGAGAAACTTCATCTTCTTTAGTTAGAGCTATTGTTTCAATTCTCAGGAGCCCCATCCTTTTCCATGTGTTCAGCTGAAAGTAGAAAGGATTTTACCCTTATGTTGTGAAGAAACAGCCCACCGCTTCCACAGGGCTTCCTAGGACATTGCAGCTCCAACATCAGCACCAACATCATTGTATTTTTTCAAGGCCTGGAAAACCAGCAGTATAAAATTCACTGTAGTCATGGCAATACAACAGTGGACATGGGGAGAAACCATGATCACTGCGGCCATCTGCAGTCCACCACATAAGTACTTTTCCTTTTCTCCCACCCCAATCCAGCTCATCTAATTAGGCAAATATCACAATTGTGACACATCCCCATTAACACCACCCCCCAAAAAAAAGCAATGCTCAAAAGAATGCCAAGGTATAAGGGGTTACAAATATTCAGACTTTATTATAAATAAGAAATACTGTTTTATACATAAAAACTGCAAGTGTTGCATTTTGTTCACCGCCCCAGACAGCAAGACCACAGATTAAGGCAAAAAGCTGGAGTGAAGGCACATACTGAGGGGGCCACAGTCAGGAATAAGGTGATGAAGGGACTGTCACACGTTGCCCATGACATCCAGCACTCCACCAGCAGCTGTTGCATCATCACATTACGTAAAGAAATAACTGGACTTATACACTGAATAATGGCTGTAATGCAGTAGTGATTAAGAGATCGCTTATAAAGATTTTTATTTTTTTAAAAATAAAATTCTGTTAAAAACAGCTTAAGGGGGGAAAAAAGGTAAGAGAAGAAAGCAGGAAACCTTAGGCCTGAGGTCAGCCAGGGCATGCGTGCATCTTCGCACCTGCTCTTCTCACAGCCTTGGCAGAGAGGTGACACGGTTACAACCAGCCATATGACAAGAGCAGCCAGCCAAGACACTGACCTCAGTGTCCCACACGTGGGTAAGCACAGGTAAGCTCTCCTCCAGGTATTAGGTATGTTTGCAGGCAGGGGGAAATCCCTAGCTGTTAAGCTCTAAGAATCTTTAAGATAAGGGGTACAAGAGCAATGTGGGGTTTGCTAGGAACAACCCCTGCCCAGCAGCGCCCTTCCCAAGGGTGCACAAAGCCTCCTGCATCACACAGTGGTATCAAGATATCCCCAGATCCAGCTCTCCGACTACCTCAATACTGGGTCTGGTCTCCCAACAGTGCTACAGCTCCTTACAAGCCCAGCTGCAAAGCCAGAACCCCTGCTCTGCTCCTGGCACAGCAACCCTGGGGACAAGGGACACAGAACAGGGTGCACCATGCATCAAGGATGGCTTTGGAGGGAGGGCTAGAAATCATCCACCCTACAGGCAAAGTTGTTATTGCTGATGCCCCTATGGGTGCTGAGGATACAGGAGAGTTAAGAATGCAGGAGCTCAGCTAGAAGAAACACTGAATTCTAAGGGAATAACATGGGCAGGAGCGATAATACAGTGCACGCACCCCAGTGGCTATAAGGGAAAGAACATAGAGGAGGCCAGGCTGTGCCACTCTGGAAATATGGCTGAGTATATTTACACACACATACACACACACGAGAGACTTCCTCACACTATAATCATGATAAAAACGGAAAAAAAAATAAATCACATTCACACAAAAAATATAAATTTGAAATAATTAATAGCACCAGTGTGTGTCAGATAATAATTTCTTCCCCGCTACGCAAACGTACAAAGTTGCATAGTGTTTAAGGATAGATATATACTGGATCTCACGGAAGGGGGGAGGGATGCCAGGCTGGAGACAAAAAGGAAGCCACAGAGAATGCTCTCATCTCAAGAGGAGGGCCAGAGAAGGAGTGAGGGGCTCCCCGCTGCTCCCACCCAGCACCAGTAAGCAGCTGGGAGGCACTACCTAGGGAGGGAGCCTGCTGGGGAGGCAACGGTAGCGGTGTGAAAGGCAGACCTGCCACCTGAGCCTGGCCTGAAGTCCCTGTGCTGTGGTGGCTTTACGGTGACTGGGAGATCAGTAGACAAAAAGAAAGAAGGGCATTGGTAAACTCCAGCTCTTTCTGCCAGCTTAAAAGCAGGGAAAAAGTAAGAGCAATGCCAAGAGACAAAAATGCCACTGTCCTTCAGGAAAAAGATGGGGAGAAAGACCTTTTCATTTCCACTTGCATGCCCTATTCCTTCCCCACCCAAAGACATTCAGCATGAAGGCCAGTGCAGCTGTTGCAGCTCTCTGATGGCAGCTCTCCTCTTCAGTAAGCCTTTTCCTGCTTGAACTAAGTAATCTGTCAATCAGACATTCATAGCCCAGAAAAACAGATCCTCTGGTAATTCAGTAGCAACACCTACAGATGGGAACACAGCTCATGGCGCCCACACTCCCAAGCCTAGACTACCCAGCAGGTAGTTGCTTACAGACCAGACTCAGAACTTCTCCCCACACCAGGAGTGGGGAAGGCAAGACCTATCACTCCCCCAGTAAAGACCTACCACTCCACCAGTATCCCATCTTCCCAAAAAACCTCCTCTCAGAGGCTGTTTTTCTCAGAGCGATGCATCATCACAGAAAGCATTTCAGAAAGAGGCTTCAGCTATTTTGTCAAAGGCTACCAATGCTGTCAGATTGGCCACTAGTTATCAATAAAAAAAATTCACAGGGTTAGAAGGTGGGAAGAGGGATGTGAATGAGTGCAGCTATACTGGCCATTACAGTAATACTTTGGTAGCCATCCCCTTCCTTCATAGGGACAGAGAGCTCTGGGACCAAGGACTTTACAGTCGAGGGGAGAAGAGAGGAGAGAAAGTGGGGTTAGTTTTGCCTTGCTGTATACAGCTCAAATGTTATTTCTGAACCACAGTATAAAGAGTCCAGAGCATCTCTCATCCTTGCACTAATCAAAGGGAAACTGTCTGAGAAAGGGGCAAAGGCGGAGTGCTCAGGAAAACAATCTATATAAAAAAAGCCCTTTGATGCCCAAAGACGGATATTTAATTTGCTTCTCAAAAATAAAAAAAAAATAATCTTTCAACTTATCCTGATTTGAAAAGAAAACAGCGGCTGCGAGCAGCAAAGAGTTGGGTATTGGAAGAAGGTAATGTGTGTTAAGGCACTCCATAGCCAAACCACCGCTCCACCGCTCACCAGAGGAATACCCCCCACCCCCAGTGCACCCTTAGGGTTTTTCAATGGACGGGGTGTTAAAACAGCCAGATGGCAAAGTCTTCTTGATGTCTTCCAGGTTGCTAATGTCCTTCAGGATCTCTTCAATGTCCCTGTTGTAAGCCTGTATTGCATCATCTTGCTTCCTGGCTTCTCTTTCAAGAAAAGACACTTTCTGGTCCAGGTCACTATCTTTCATCTGGTCTTTGGCACTGTTCAGGGTACCCTCAATTTCATTCAGTTTGTTCAAGTCCACCGTCTCCAGTTGCCCTGAAAAGCCAGAAGCAAATAGTGAAGTCCATTAACAAAGTTTTGACACTAGTTGTGGATGCTTACACAGCACACTCAGAGACCTCCATCAGGCTCTCTCTGCATTAGAAACAGCATTTAAAACAGCACCAACCGTATGGATTACACCTCCAGTGCCTCAAAAAAAGCCCCTGGCTTGCAGAAAAAGTGGTACTGAACACTGTTCAGTATTCAGGGATTTGAGGCTAATCAAGGAAAGAAAAAAAAACCAAAAAAACAAACCCAACAAACTCCAAACCAAATTCCTTGACAAAACCACGCAAACACCGTTTCTAGAAGCCCATTCGATTCCTTGCACCGCACTGTTAGGGAAGCCAGCAGCACGCCACCTACTGGGACTGCCGCATCACGGAAAACACTCAAAGGCAGACAGCATATTAAGGACAGTCTTACCTAACTGATCCAGCAGATCATTAATGACAGAAAGCAAACTGTTCACAGAGTTCTTTGCTTTCCTTGCGTTGTCTTCTGCCTCCTGGGCAGCCTGTGAGGCCTGCAGAATTTATAAAAGAAAAATAAATGATAGCACAAAAAAGGCTGTTGCCTCTCCACAAGTCTGCCCAAGCAGTTAAGTTACACAAATCCCTGGCTCCTCTCTCCAGGATAACATTCCTATACTGACATCTTTAACACGGTGCTGGCGAAGACTGATGACCTTCAAATAACGTTTTTTGATTATTTCAGGATGGCAATCCCTGATAACTGAGCAGGATTTTGCAGGAAAAGTCAGAGCAGTCAATAGGGCTACGGTCAGGTTTTGATCAAAATAAAAGCTGTTGCATTAAGAAACCTCTCAAATTTCGGAAGGGAATCTATGCTAAATGCCATCAGAGGAACTCCTTTGGTCACCTCACATTTTCAATCCCACCTAAAAATTGGAAGAGTTTGAATACTGGCTGGACCCACTGCTGTCCTTGCAGGGGAAAAAACTACATTGCCAAGTCAACAGGGACAAGGAAGTTTTTTGCCATTGCTGCCACCTGCCAGCATTACTTACCATGCCTGCCATCATCATATCCTGCTCAGCATCATCTTGCTTCTGCTTCAGCTCTTTTTCTGCATCCTGTAGTTGCTTCATCATGTCATCCACTTCCCTGGCCAGCCCCGTCACATCAGCGAAAGTCCTGTCAGCTTCAGCTTTGGTAGCAGCAGCATTCTACAAACAACCATGGGGAACAGGATGGAAAAAGGCAGTGAAGGTGCAGAACCTCCTTCAATCCTTTTCATCAAAAGGTCACCAATTTCCTACCATGCCACATTTTGCATTCCCTAGTGGGGAATACAGCAGAAAGCATGTGGGGCTCACCATGAAATACTGGAATAGAGAAGTTTACACAGCTACATACCAATATCTCAGGAGGGTGGGCTCAAGAACTGCAAAGGACTCACCTTCTGAACAGTACCAGCGATTTTCTCAGCATCATTTGCTTTAGCCTTGGCTTCACGGGCATCAGCAGCAGCACTGCCAAGCGCCAGCTCTGCCTGGCGTGTTTTATTGTTGGCTTCAGCAATGGTCTGGGTAATGGCAGGAATCTTTTTCAGAGCCTCCTCAGCTGCCGTCTTATTATCATTCACCCGCTTATCAAAATCTAAGAAAGGGCAGAACACATCCTTATCACTTGCTCCAGAAGGGACTTGGGATGCTGCTTTGACCAAGCTACCTCCACCTCATCACTTTGACATCAGCAGGATGAAGAACAAACTGGGGTGTGAGGTTTGTTCCCCCCACTTGCAGTTCTCCCTGCTACACATCTTACGACCCTAAATAAGGAACTTAGAAGGAGGTTTCCAATTTTTTTTGTCTTTAAAGAAAAAAGCCAAAAGAACCCATCAACTCTCAGGTACTGGCCATAGCATGGCCCATTTAACCAAGATACTTGTCTCTTGGAAAGTTACATGTCACATAGGGATTGAAGGATTCACTGCAAGTGTTTTCTCTTTACCTTTCAGGTTGCTGAGAATGGTATTAGCCTCCTGCAGTGTGCCATTGCCCTTCCGAGCAGCTTCTTCAGCCAGGGCTTTTGCTGCATCTGCTCGAGCCAAAAGCTGGTCTGCAGTCTAAGGAGACATGACATGTATCAACATTCTGATACATTTCTTACCTTAACATTTCTTACTTTTAGAGGAGAACCATCTAGATGTATCATTTAGCATTGCTCAGCCTGAAACACCAACGCCATAACAGTGCTCATCCATGAGTGGCAATGATTCCTCTGAAACCAGGTGAATTTAGGTACTTTTGGAATACTGTTCCGAATACAAAGACGACACTACACCTGACAAACATCCTCTATTCTCTCATGTAGCCTCAATGCCATTGGTTTTACCAGCTTTTTGCATCTCCTTTCTGGGGCCATTCTTCAGTATTCTTGTAAGTTATATGCAGTGCCAAGACTGAATAAGACCAGATCTTCAGTATCTGGCCAGTTACTTGTTTTCCTTTTTTTTTTCCAGAGAACAAAAGCCTGCACACAAAACAGAACTGACCTGCTGCTCCGTCTTTCCTTTCTCCAAGAGGTTCTTTACTTCCAGCTCCTTCCCTTTCATGTCTTCTCTCAAATCCTCATAATCTTTTAGCTTCCTGGCAATTAGCTGATCTAACTCCTCTGCTTCCTTCTTGATCTTATTTGCTTCATTCTGCAGGTGGAGATCAGAAACAAATGCAGAATCCTGAATGTCAGAGAATTCCTGAACAGGTGGTGAAACATGGTATAGTTTCTAATGGTCAAACAGGCAGAAGCTATGATGGGTACCCATCTCTTACAACTACAGTTGTAACTTTGCCTTCAAAGTTCTGAATACCATGAGGGTCAGTGCAATGAAGGACAGATGCTGCAAACAGTTTTGTGCGCAAGAAGCTTTACTGCACTAGAGTGAGCACGTAAGAGGGAGCAGTTCGGCAGGCTTCAGAGTGAACTGAACTTTTTTCACTTCTTTGTTCAAGCCAAGATGTTTGGCAAATAACATTTCACTCATTTTTCCTTTTGTCCTTCAGAGATCGGGAGGATGTAGGGAAGTTACATCTGTAGTTTCCTGCACACATGTCTCCTGCATAAAAGCTGAAATTCCCAAGTCTGGATCATGACTAGTTGGATAAAACTTTCACAGACTGTTTCTATGCAGAGAAACATTAGCAAAGCACAAGCAAGGTATGCCAGCAACCTAGCACACTGCTGTAATGCTTATCCTCATTATCGTTAGAAAAAGCTGTACATGATGCTTCCCACACATACCTCTAGCCCTGTGGAATCCACAGTAGGTAGACTGGTGAGATTAGCGTAGATCTGCAAGGCTCTGTTTCCAGCTTCCTCTGCCTCTGCAAGCACTTTGCTGGCCTGCTTCTCTAGGTCTCGAGAAATGTTCCTTGCCTGATTATACCTAAAAAAACACCAAGGATCCAGTTTTTGGTAGAACTGAACTTACTAATTGAGTGGGGAAGCTATGAAATTGAAAGACAAGTCTCAGAAAATCCAAACCGTAAAATACTAGAGAGGGTGTCTTAATTTTAAGCACTGCTCTAAAGCCAGGAAATAAAAGCTTTATGTTACTGACTCACTTCTGGTTGAGCTCATCAATGTCATTTGCAGTTTGGTTTTCACCAGCCAGGGTCTTCAGCAGCAGCTGATATGCTTCTGTGGAAGTATCATTTGCGGCCTTAGCTATGCGAACAATCTCATCAGCTTCTTTTTTGTGTCTGAACAAGATTACAGAAGAAAAATAATGCTATTAGAACTGTCAGCCAGTGGTTTTCATCCTCTATTTTGGATTTTACTCTCCCAGCTTTTATTCTTATTTTTCTTTCCTTCACCCAGATTTGCATACAGAAGATGCTGAAACATCTGCAACAGAAAATGCTGTCTGAGCATCCACAGTGCCAGTCTCTGACTCAGAAAAGTAAGAGACTCTGTTTCCTACCAAGCAAATACAATTTTGGTTTTGCAAGGAAGAGCAGAGTCCTGATGCAGCCTGTGAGGAGCATGTCTTGCCCCAGCCTACCTTTCAGCCAGCTTACGGGCCTCTTCTGCCAATAGGGTCATGTTGTTAGGGTCCCCACTTGACTCTGGAGGTGTAATGGACTGAAAGAAAAAAAAAATCTTAAAGCTCTTCTTTATCTTTTATTCATCTTTTCTTATATTTACTATCATGATCTAAGTGCTTAGAGATGTGTCTAACCTACTTCTAATTTCTCTGTATTTTTTTTCTTGAGCCCATACAGTTCCCATCAATGGTTGCCCCTCAAAAACAGGCGCCAATATTTATTTAGAAGTTCTTATGCTGGTTTTTTTTTTTTTTTTGAGCAGGAGATTAGATACAACCTATGACAGACACTGGGATCTTCATTCATTTATTTCCCATGATCTTGGGTAGGGAGGAAGATATTTCCATAGCAAATTTGCTCTATGAGAGAGGGAACAAGGAGAGAAATACACCGGAGGGCACAGAAAGGAAAGGCCCTCTCCTCATCACATGGGAAGTTGGCAGCACACTCACCACATTGTCAGCTGCCATCTTTGCCTTCTCAAGCATATCAGAAGCTAAGCTTATCAGGTCCTCAGTGTCCTCCACCCGCACCCTGGCTTGCTCTGCCAGATTTTCTGTCTCCCGCACTGTGCCCTGGATGTTCCTCAGCCTGTTGAGTTGGCTCGTTAGCGTGCTGTTAATGTCTTTGAGACGATCCATGAGACCCTGATCTACATCTGAAATACACGATATAAGCAGCAGCAAAATTAATTACAGCAGGAAAAGAAGCTGGAGCAGGAGCTTACCTCTGCAGGCAACATGTTGGTAAGTTAATATCCTACTGAAACATGACCAGCAAAGCCATTTCACATGTCAGCTTGAGATCAAAGTCATCATCAGAATGCACACTAAATTTGAGAAATGAAAAGTCATTAAGTACTAAGACCACAAACCTGCTGGGTGTTGGAACCAACTCTGATGGGGAATTTTGTGTCTAGAATCATGTTTCACCTTTATCATTGACTTAAAGAACACAACAGAGCTGTTCCTCAAGAGATATGAAACATCTGCTCTGTAAATTCTCTTTATGTTAACTCCTAGAAGCTAAGCAGAGACAGAGGAATAGTGGGGTTGTACACTATTGCCCACTGTAGGCAATGGTGGTTACTCCTGAGCCAGACAGAGCTTCCATACACAGAATAGCAGACCCACCCCAATCTGCCCCCCAAACCAAAGGGATGGCAAAAGCTGGCAGGATAGAGCCTTGGTTCTCCAATCTGTAGGAACTATGAACCCCCCAAACTTCCCCAAATTTCTGGACCACCATGTAACTCCCCACAACAGCATCTTACTAATGGAGCCATAAAAGCCATACACTGATACATACCTCACGACCAAGGGCAATTACTTTGAAAAGGTGAGAGCATTATTAGGAGATGAAGTACAAGCAGAAGCCTGCAGGCCTCCAAAATTAAGATTTTTTTCCCTTGACCTTGCAGCACACAGTAAGTACTGAACATGAACATCTGACATATTTCGGAAGCATACCACAAACCACACGTTGAGTAGGAAAACACAAGTGCTACAGGTGTGCAGAGATTTTTGCAATGGTAGCCTCTGTTGAATTTAACTTGTCTCTTAGGGAAGAAGCAACAAAGCTGGTGAAGGGTCTTATGAGGAGTCACTGAAGCAACTACTGTTCTTTAGCCTGGAGAAAGAGGCTGATGGGAGACTTTACCACACCCTAGGGAGATAAGAGTAGTGGATTTGACAGTCCTGGGGTAGCAGCTGGGCTTGATGATCGTAAAGGTCTTTTCCAACCCACTTGATTCTATCATTAAAATATCTAATCTACCCTCTTTCATCTTAAAGCTATTCCCCCTTGTCCTATCACTACTTGCTCTTTTAAAAAGTCCGTCTCCAGCTTTCTTTAGGCTCTGTTTAGGTACTGGGAGGCCACTTTAAGTTCTCCCTGAAGCCTTCCCTTCTCCAGGTTGAACAACCCCAACTCTCTCAGCCTGTCTTCAGAGAAGATGTGGTTACTCCAGTCCTGTGATCATCTTTGTAGTCCTCCTCTGGACTTGCTCCAACATGTCCCTGACCTTCTTACACTGGGGCCAAAGTGCTGAACACAGTACTCCAGGTGGGGTCTCACAAGAGCAGAGTAGAAGAGGAGAATTGCCTCCCTTGACATGCTGGTTCTTTTAATGCTGCCCAGGACAGCAGTTGGCACTTTTTTTGGCTTTCCAGTAAGTATATTGGGAAGTCTTCCATTTGTTTAGCAAGTAACTAAAACCACTTTTTCATCTGGAGAAGAGGGTAACACATAGAAGACTTGCATCTCTACACAGCTAGAGGCAAATCTTCACTTTGCATTTACAACAGAAACCACTGGGAGAACAGCAGGGATAAAAGCACAGCCACTGTTGTTTTGATAATAACATACACTGTGTCAGTGCTCCATGAAATGGCTGTCAAACCTAATGAACAGCAAAGACTTGAAGTTAAATACCCTGTGTCCAAGGGGAACAGGAACATCAAGCAGAGAGCTCATTTCATGTTGGTCCATGTCTGCTTAGGTCAACTCACCTTTGCTGTTCTGTGCTTCCTGGAGCAACTCCATAACATCTCTTTCTGCCTGCTTCAATCTCTCTTCAAAGGCTTGATCCGTTACAGTTTCTTCTCCTGTACCCAGATTTGCTATAAGGTTTTCCAGCTCCTGCAACCTTTCACGCTGCTCCACTACCTAGATGATTAGGACAGAGGACAGCTATAACACAGAGCAAAGCACCTTGAACCTCTCTGCTTTCAGGAGGTACCAGCCAACCACAAACACACAAGCCACTGCACAAGCAGGCACATAACCGCCTTTTCCAGTGGTACCAACAATAGGTGCTTGTGGTCTCACCTTATCTTTCACTAATCTGTAGCAGGCTGGACACTCTTGACAGCCTGGCCAGGAGCGGTTGTAGAAGTAGTTCTCCTCACACTGGTCGCAGCGGTTTCCCACAAAGCCCTCCTTGCATTCGCAATGACCGTTCTCCTGGCACTGAAGGGAGCGTGAACCCTCAGGATCACAGTCACAGGCTGCAGGGAAGTTAAACCTCAGTCAGACTGGAGGAGAGGCAGAAATACCCTAAGACCCACAGGGCAAGAGCATACCCTCAACATTCCAAAATACCTGCAAGAGCAACAGGGCACAAACTCACAGCTGAAGCCCCACTCCAGGCACTTCTACACACAGCAGGGCACCAGATCTAGCTGGACACAACATTCACTGCATGTGCTCAAAGTGTTGCTGCTGCCTCTCCCACAAAGCATGATGATTTTCTACCCCATTTCATTGTATCCAACTGCAGTAACTTTTCTGCTCTTTACAGGCAGAGGTATCAAGGAGGAAAGTTTGGATCACCCTGTTTTTCAATCATGCTTACAAGGTTTGTTGCTCCTCAAGATAGAATCTGTATATTCAGGCCATTTGCAGAGTAGCTGGGCAGAGATTTAACAGCAGCAAACAGGACTATTGCTGGACAAGATCCATAGAATGCATTTACATGGAAGAGAAGTACATATCTAATAAGTTGGAATTCTTCCTACTCCCCATTATAAAAGTAAGAAGAAGGGGATAAACTATTGTACAGAGATCAAATTTCACCATGCAGAGTGTGACCATAGAAGTGCCAACTTCTGCTGTGATGAAGAGCAAGGTGAGAGAGTACCTTCCCAGAGACAAGAAGAAGATAAAGACAAGGCTGGCTGTGCAACATCCCTCCCCTCTGCCTTGTTCCAGCCTCTCAGACTTACGTTTACAGCCTTCAGAGCCAAAGCCAAAGTGGTTGACCTCACATCTGTCGCAACGCTGGCCGGTGACGCCAGGCTGGCACTCACACTGCCCAGTTCGGATGTCACACTGGCCATTGGTGGAGCCCAGTGCGTGGCAGTTGCACCTGCAGGAGGCAGCCACATGTCAGATAGTGACACAGAAGGGTGCATGGGTGAAGTACTTCTCTGGGGGAACCCTAAGTAGCACAGCAAATTGTTTCCATTTGGCAGAAGACACTCTTCTTGTGCAAATGCAGAAGCGAGGCACTGAACCTTTGAACCATGCAAAGTCATTTGGTGCCTGCACTGAAAAAGGAACCCACAAGCCCCTGCTATCAACAATCAGACAGTCACGTGGCACTTTTCTATTTAAAAATCCTGATTTAAAGCTATTTATAAAGCTATTTATACGTAAGGCCTTTTGTACAGCCTTCATAGCTGCTCCTTGACTGCTGCCCTTCCCCACCCATAGCAGCATCAAGGCACATCAGCTACTTGTGACAAACATCACATTCCTGCACAAAGTAAGCACAGACCCCTCCAAAACCAGGCTCTTTGGCCCAGTGCAAGGCAAACATTACCTCTCACAGCCACGTCCACTCTGGAGGTTGAAGAAGCCAGGCTCACAGGCACTGCAGTCCCTCCCTGTGACATGAGACAGGCACTCACACTGCCCAGTCACCTGATTGCAACTCGTCTGCTGATTCACAGTGCCATATGGATTGCAGTGACAAGCTGCAAAAATAGAAGGGATACAGAAACATGCAGAAGGTTAGAAGCCCCTTGTGGTGCTGGTACTCTGCTAGCCACTCCCTGAACAGGCCTGGATCCAAAACACACACAGCACAGCCCCTGCCTTGCACAATGCTTTTGCTTCGATGGCAGTAAGCACCCACAAACACAAGCATTTTAGCAAGCTAGAACCAGCAAACCAGGATAAAGCCACGCATCACTGCTGACAGGCATGAACAACAACAGTCTGACATTGTGTGCTAACAACACGTCAGGGAACAGCAGCGCTCAGGGACAAAACCATTTTTAAATGCAAGAGGAACCAGCTCTCACCTCTGCACTTGTCAGCAGGATCAGGGGCCAGGGGGTTTCCAAAGAAGCCGTCTTTGCAGCGGTCACAGTAGAAACCAGCAGTGTTGTAGATGCACTTGAGACACTCGCCTGTCTGGCGATCGCAGTTCCCCACTGCATTGGGATCAATGTTATCGTTGCACTGGCAGAGGCGGCAAGGCCTCACAGCACCATTTTCACCCAGTGGGTCTCCAAAATAGGCATCATCACACAGCTCGCACCTCTTGCCTGGGATGCAACAGAAATACGTGCTGCAGCAGAAAGCCATTAGCTGTCATCTCACTCAAACCCCCTTTGCAACCCCTTTTGAAAGTCAGTTCTCCAGCTTACTTCCCTTTCATCCTTCTGTTAAGACCAGAAAGGTGAACAAAACCACACACAAGTCCTTGCCCATCTCCAAGTTTAAGCCACTTTTTCACTGGAACTTTGCATTATGAATTATTTCAGCTTCTTCTTTCTCTCCTGCTCCTTTAAGCCAAACCTATTTGTTGTAATTTGGTGTTAAGAGTCCAAGCAGGTAGAGCTCCATGGGGCATCACTGCTCCAGGAAGCCTCACTGCCAAAAAGACCTGCCAAACCTCCACAGGCAGCCACTGAACCATCCAACTCAGCAACTCCCTACACTTTCTGCAGATTTGGCCTTCCCAGCCAGCTATAAGCTCCATTTCTTGGGCAGCTCTTGCACACACAAACCCTCTTTTCCCCTCAGCTCATTCCTTACATCCCAAGAAGGGGATAAGAGGAACTCCTGCACAATCACATATCCACAAATAAAAAATGAGCTTGTACTGACACCTGAGCTTCAGGGAACATAGACCACCTGGACTCCACTTTGGTTCACGAAGCAATGGCATCCATGGGAACACCCATAAACTGCCTCTGTGCTTCGTCAGGGGCTTTCCTAAGCATTTCAAGCATTTACAGGTATTCTGCACTTTGGACTCTGCCATGCCAAGCATCAAATCAGCAGAAAAGCATGGAGGCTAGCCAGCCATCCTAAGGCTTCCTTGCTTTGCAGGCAGAATAAAAGATTGTCCCTCTCACGCAAGCATCCTGCAGTGTCTCTCTGGCTGACAAACTGCATCTTCTAATTCTATTTCAGTCTGACCCACCTTCCTGGATCTTTTAAATCTATCCTATTTTCTGCCCAACCCTGTGCAATCAACAGCGCTCTGTTAGAACCTAGCACAGCTCTATCTATGTACCACAGAAATGTTTGAACTTTGCACAGATTAAGCCTTTGCTTCCCTTTTGTTCCTGAGACAGACACAAAGAACACGGGTAGCCCTGAGCCTCACACATCACAAAATGGGGCTGAGGAAGGGAAAGGAATTTGAACTAGAAGACACAGAAGCTTTCAGCACTGCCCACTGAGGGTCAAAGCCCTGGAACTGGCAGGAGATATTTCTACAGGCACATGGGATGCAGAAAAAAAAAATGGAGAAAAAAAAAAGAAAAAGAAAAAAGAAAGACTTCTTGTGTAGGAGCACACCTGTAGTGCCAGCTTGGCAGCTGGTGCACACAACTTCCTTTGTGCGGGGCACGATGGCACAGCTGGAGCCACCTGGGCACGGGCAGGGCTGGCAGTCTGAGGCTGTGCCCGCTGTTGCATCTCCATAATACCCATCAGTGCACTTCTCACAGTGAGGCCCTGCCGTGTTATCTCTGCAATTGCACATGCCTGGAATAGAGAAAGACATGGGGTATGTTCCATCATCCAATCCAGAAAGAAGAACCACCCTCTTGGTGCTCCCTGTTTTATTGGCTCTTCTTACCCGTCTCTGGTTCGCATGTCTCACTGTGCCCATTGCACGTGCAAGGCACACAGGGGCTGTAGGGCCCAAGGCTTGGTGTCTCTCGCCGGTACCCAGAGGAGCAGCGCTCACAGAACTGTCCCTCGTATCCTGCTGGACAGGAGCAGCTCTCCACCCAGGTCACAGGCACACCAGGTCCAGGACGAGCACTTGTAATAGTAACATCATCCAGGTGGCCGGCACCTAGAAAGCACCGAGAAGGGTAATGCTTTGTAACCACAAAGGCTCTCATCACCACTTCACCAAACATACATCTGAATGGTACAAGAGACAGACAGGTGGGTGCTTGCAGTTGGTAAGGTGAACTAAGAAGTAAAAATCCTACAGGAAGGCTTAGACAGATGAGAAAAGATGCAATGTAGCTCACAGAGGTCATGTGCAGGGCAGGAAAGCTGAGAATCACAACCTAGGGGAAGACACTGAGAACAGCATGTGAGCAGGTACAGTCAGCTAAATTAAGTTACATTTTGCATACACAGTTCCCATTTCCAAATCAAATATCAAAACCAATTCCTGTCTTTCTAGGGAGGACAGACCATCTCTCCAGCAATTTTAATACACTGTCTCTAAGACAGCATCTGCAAACCATACCTTGAGGCAAACTCTTCAGCTATGCCCCTTAAGCCATTCCTTCATCTGGCATTTGAGCACTCCCCCCTCTCCTCCCTGGCCCTTCCCTGGAGCAGAACAGAGCCCGAACACAACATAGCTGTTTTTTAACTTCAAGCAGTGTGCATGTACCACCACAGCAGCTTCAGAGCACAGAGCAGAGCCTCAGTTCCCACACATTAGCAGCACCTACTGCACACAAGGGACAGCTTGCTCCATACCTTTCCACCACTCTGTTTCACAACCCCACATTCACCTTTATGAGCCACCTCTACTGAAACACTTGCAGCTTTCCCACCTTCCCCAAATGCAAATTCATCCTTTGCGTCTTGCTGCAAAAAACCCTTTTTCACACAATACCCAAGGACCCAGATATTTCTGCTCCTAATTCTTGCCTCATTTTTATAAACTGTCATCACAAGAAACTTTCACTCAAGTTCAGCACAGGCAGTGCTTTCAAGACCTCATCCTTCCCACTTGTCATGCCAAGGCAAGATGAGGAAACAGGGGGGATGTTAACCGTTCCTAGTGTGGCAGAAACCTAGGCCAATGTTGCAAGCTCTCTACCTCTCTCCTACCATGTCCTCAGGACTACGTGCTATGCATTTCTACCAATCTGGAGGACACTGGCTATGCAACACAGCAAAGCTTCTATGTTTAGAAAGCAAAGAATCAGCAGCTGATGTGCGCTCAGCTTCCAGACTCTCAAAGGCAGCATCTTTCTTCCCCATGTCCTATTCAGGAGGCCTGGGAGAAGCTGCTGCACAGGAAGGGCAGGTGAAAAGTAATGGCCACAGGCTTTGCCAAATAAGATGCCTTTATAACAACTATAATGTTATATAAATATATTATTTATAGAATAACAGCTATTAATAACCAGACCAACCCCTACAATAAAGTCACCCAAGCACTAGACGAATGAGTCTGCCCCTCTTTTCCATGATGTTCTGCTCAGCAACTTACTTCTCTCACTGTATGTCCCACGGATCTTGATGGAAGTCAAGTTGTGGAGAAGCTTCTGGAAGTCAAATGCCGTAAGAGCAGGCCTCCATGGGTAATCTGTAGCCTCATGGAGCCTGTGGAGAAAGCCATGCATCAGCAAAGCTTTCAGATGTTAACAGCTGTGCTCTTTTAAAGCACCCTTTCCAACAGTGGTATGCTATTGCAACATAATTCATGTACACTTATGCAATGCTGCTAGACAGTGGGCTTCAAATTAACCTGTCAAGACCGCTTTTCCATGCTTAGTGCTGTTTGTTTTCTCAACAGCTTAGAGGGCGGGGGCACCACAGGCTCAGTTCAAACTGCTCCTACTCTGTCTGGAGAGTCCTCTCACCTGAAGGTGTAGATCAGCGTGTTCTCACTGGGGTAAGGGTTGCCCTGGGCAATGAGTGGCACTGACACTCTTAGCCCAGCTCCTTCCAGCACCACATCCTCTGCTGAGAGGCGTGTGTCCCGTTTATCCACGCGGAAGGAGAAGGTCAGGTTTTGCCCGTAACTCAAAACCTGGTTGCCCAAGAACTTTCCTGAAAGGAGTAGAAATCCTTACAGTTAGCACACAGACAAAAAAGGCACAAGCACCACAAAGTCTAGCTTCTCAAATGACCTACGTGGTGCAACAAAATATATGGGGAAGTAGCTGTCTGAGATAACAGATACATCCTGGGTCTCCGCGCTCCACTGGAGTAACACTTCCGAGCCATCACGCTGCTCAGCACGCCACTCATCCTCTCCTGGAAAATCAAATATGCAAGAATTAACACCCTTTGAAGTCATAGCTTAGCACACATTTCTCATGTCATACTGCACACCACTCATATGTAACTAATGTACAGTCTGTACACTGGCACTAACAGGCTTCAGAAAGTAGCTCTGCAGAAGAATGTACATAGCAAATATTGGGGTTGGAACTAGATGACCTTTAAGGTCCCTTCCAATGCAAGCTATTCTATGATTCTACGAACTTTCCAATCTAAGCCCCTAACACGAGTGCTGACTTGAACCCCCTGAACTTTGAACCCCATGACAACTAGTTGTTCCAATCTTCTTTTCTAAAGAGCTTAAGCGGGACCAGGAAAACCTGCAGTCCTCTATGACCTGATGAGAGTTTCAGCCTTTGTATGGAATGTTCTCCAGTGGAATTTTAATTAAAAAGATGTTCTATTCATTCTATGCAGCATGGAAACATGCATACAGAGGAAACTGTTAAAAAAAAAAAAAAAAAAATTTTTCCAGAGCTCACAGACCCATCAGAAACACAGCTGTGGTTTATTCAGAGCCACATAAATGCCAAACCTAAAGCGATTAAAATCCTCTCAGTAAGAAACTCCTGATTTAGCTCTAAAACCAAGGAAATGCCTTCTTGCCAGCACTTCTCTCAAACTGCAGGAGGTTTATATTTGCAATTCCCACTTTCACCTGCACAAGTGTGCATTAGCACTGGGTGCTCAAGGCCAGAGCTCTGAATTCATACGAGCTGCAAACATGGAAGCTCCCAGTAGCTTCAGAAGTAATTCGGCATTTCCAGAGAGGTATGCTGGACCTGTCTACCCAAGGTTTGGGGTCTTGGCAGAGAGGAAGGCGCAGGTTTTCTTTATTGCTTCTGACTTGACTGACAGCCCCACTCAAAATACAAAGGCAGGCTCAACTTTACCAAACTGGAAGCTGGAGGTGATGCTGTAGATACTGTAGCCAATGGCATTGGTGCAGACTGAAGAGTGGCCAAAACAGAAGCAAGGAGTACAGCCCCTTGGATTGGAGGAATCCAGATTGAAAAATCCAGGTTTGCATCTAAGCATGTGAAGGAAAGAGAATTAATTTCCCCAGTGCCTACCCAAGGCCATCACACGAATGTTTCCCATTCTTGAAACAAAGCCATGGGAAGAAAAAATTACCTCTCGCAGTGAAAGCCTTCAACATTTTCCTTGCACGTACACCGCCCTGTCTCAACATTGCATTCCCCTGTGCTGCCAGCCAGGTTACAAGAACAAGGCCTGAAAGAATCAGAAGAGAGGATAACTCATTAAGAGCCACTCAGAGAATACTTTAAAAAAAGATGCTTAGTTTTTCTTTTAGATGGCTGCAGTCCTGCTTACCTGCACCCAGCTTCAGAGATGGAGTGGAAACCTGGCTGACACCGGTCACACTTATCACCCATCACGCCAGGTTTGCAGCTGCACTGGCCGTAGCTATCACACTGTGTGCTGAGGGACCCTGGAGGGAAAGCAAGGACAGGCACCTCAGCAGACCCACTCAGCTCTATTAGCCTGCAATTTTTTTTCAACTTTACAAAATGGACAAGAAATATGGGAAGAGAAAGTTGGAAGCATAACTCCAAGCTGATAAGTGACAGCTTACCTAACGACTGACCCTAGTTCATAGGAATTTTTCCCCTAACAGCTCTAGAGAAATGAATTGTTACCTAGCCTTCAAACCATATTCAGCTTTTAAGTTGGTTGGTCCTACCAACCAATGTTTTTATGTCTAGTTAAGCACATTCTTGTTCTTATTCCTGCGCTATCCTCAATGTTACCTTTGCATGCCTCTAATTCCATGCCTGTTTTACCCTGCAATGTACCATTTCCAAGACTTTATTCTCTGAATTCCTTGTGTTCTCCATAATCACCATCTCCCCTTTGCCACCGGAGACCTCTCCTCTCCTTTCACGCACCAATTTCCCCCCCTTGATTCCCAAGTTGGATTAAAAAAGCTAAATCCCCTCCTCGGAGCTAGGCTGCATGTGCCACTATTAGCCCTAACAAACTTCAGCAAAATTCTGATTTTTGGAAGAATATCTTCTTCAGCACTGTGTGGATTTTCACAAAAAGCAGCGGCAGATTTATTTTATCCATGGCAAACAAAATGCTTTCTCTCAGGCACTGGTGTAGCTAGCAATCTAAGAGTTGTCAGCAGTGTGAGAGTCAACTACCAGGAGAAAAGTATTTTAGTATGCAGAAATAGTTGTTTGTTTCCACTTCAATCCACACCAGATGATTATAGCAAAGTGAAAAGCTGCAAGATGATTAGGTTGGACAGAACACAGCTCACAAAACCTTTACCATATACAGCCAAATCCACTTTACAGTTCCACTTACAATTATTCAGGGAAAAGACAGTTTTAGGACAAAAAATAGCAATCTAAACCTATCTGGGGACGCTCTGGGTGTCAGTGTGCTACAGGATGCAAGCTGATGACTAAGGTATAAAGCCCTCTGAAATCTGTCCTTAAAAGACGCAAGAAGTCACCTCCTGCTGCTTCTCGATCATCTCAGATGACACCAGCCCTGTCAAGGTCCTACACAAGGACCTGGGAGAGCAGACGGAGGAAGAAAGAGGCCTTTCTTGGTCAAAAATTTCACAACTGTACAACTCTGAGACCAAATTAGATAGGAAACATACCCTGGCAGACCTCTTGCTGGCTGCTTTTAGGGTATGCTGCAGGCAATTACTTATTCCAGCTACTCTATTTTGGAACATCACATCATATCTTACTATCTGTTACTCTTTTGCCTCCTTCACCCTTATTTGCTGTGGGCCGACAGCTTATGGCATCACTCAACACAGGTCAAGTGGTTCCTCTGATAATAGAAGATTTGTTCTATCAGATTTTTTCTGTTTGTTAGGTTATTTTGTTATTTTTCTGTCTGTTAGTTGGTCTTGTGTTGGGTTTTTTTTTTTAATAGGATGGGTTTTGTTCATGTTTTTAGTTTTGTTTGCTGTTGTGTTCTTTTTTTTTCTCCTCCCCTCCCCCCCCCATTTTTTTAAAGGAGATTAACTACATATTTTGAGTTTACTCTCAGTCCCACACCCTTTTGTGTTTAAGGGTTCAATAGACTGTATTTATAGTGCTTGGATATGCAGTAGGAGAAACTGATGCATCTGAAGTTCACTACAATTCAACAACTTCCAGAAATACACACTCACATCATCTTGCTTATTAAGAATTTAAATGAGCTCTTTCGTACTGGGAGTGTCCAGGGTTACACATACGCAGTGGTGGTGGGGAAGCAGAACAAAACCAAAGCTATAAAATAAAATCTATTTCAGAACACATTTGACAAAGTAAATGCTGCAGAGGTGAACCATCTTTCCCCATGACACCAACTCCAATTAGATGCAAGAAGAATTTAAACCAAAATAAAACCCAATAAACATTTTCTACATGATGGGGGGAGCGGGGGAGGGGGTGGTGAAGAAAGAAGAAAGCGAAACAGAATACCCCTCTCTTTACCCTCTATTTTGCAGTTAGCTGCATAACCAGGAAAAGAGCTAGGTTTTGTGCATGAAGTTTGCAAACAGAAACATTTGCTGCCATTACTTACCAACTGGGTTGCAACTGCAGGGCAGACATCCCTCCTCGCTCCCTAGTCGATAGAAGCTGTCCCTGCACCTTTCACAGTGGGCACCATCGGTGTTATCCGAGCAGCCAGTGCAGTGGCCCCCGTGGCCCGTCGAGCGGTACAGCTCAGGGTCAAAGTAGCACTCCTGTGACCTCCCGTTGCAGTCACAAGCTGCAAAGAGAGTGTACAATCAGGAAACAGCATGTGTGGTTGTCCGATCCCAGCTACAAAACCCACTACACAAAGCTCGATACAAAGTTGTAGGGAAGCTGGAGTAGGAGCCTTTAACTATCCCAAGACTCATTTGCGCACCAATGAAGAAAAAGGGGGAAGCATGTTTTTGTGGTGGTTAAATGTGGGGAGGGGGAAGGAAGGCTGTAACAATGAACAGCTCTTCAAGACCATTCTCATCTACATGCAGTAGGTATTTTCTATCCCACTTCTTCCATATCAAGCTGTCATTTGCAGCCAAAATGCCACCCTCTCACAGAACAACACTGATCTCATGCAAAAAAGAATGAAAAGATAACAGTGAGGATGACTCCACGCTGTAAGCAGAATTTATCCCCTGCATTATAAATCTGCTCTCTCTAGGCAGAGGGAGACCTGGGTTTCACCAGCCTGTTAAGGGAATCACACGTCTTGACCAGACAGCTGGGACCAATCAAAACACACAGAAGTCAGACAGGAAGAAAGCTTTTCTGTCTGAAAAAGCTTCCCCATAAAGTAAACTACCAGAAGCTGTGGTCTGTGACATAGAACGAAGCAAAATAAACTGGCATTCCATCAGAGATTCACATTTGTGATCCAGTACTGTTGCAACAGCCTCAAAATTGGATTAAATAGTCGGCAAGTAATTGTAAAAACTAATAACCCAAATACAAGAGGAAGTCACTGGAGCTTTTTAATGGGCAATTATACTCCAGCAAACTGAATATTTTTATTTCCTATAGATCCCATGAAGTACGAACCTGTACATTTTTGTGGCACACCTCATTACTAAAGGCTGCTCCCATCTTCCTCCAGAAAGCAAATGTCCCTTTCTAGGGACCTACAGATAGATCGTATAAGATAGGAGTGGAATAACCAGCAGTCCCAAATAATCTCTGCTGAAAAAACACCAGAACTGTGCTTAACCTGCCAAACAACTGAGACAACTTAAAACCATGCAGGGCTAGCTTCTGGATGCCAACAGAGGCAGGGACCCTACCCCCAAGAGATTTTCCCCCCTCAAGCATAGCCACACATACGCAAACATTCATTGGCACTCTCTGCTGTTGCTCTCCTCCATGGACGGTCATTGAAGAAAGGAAGACACTTTTCACAGTCGACTCCAAAGGTGTTATGCTTGCAGTTGCAAACCAGCTTCCCAAGCTCGTTCTTCATGCACTCACTTGCATGCCCATTACATTTGCATCTGGTTAGAGAGAGACAAGGAACAGGTATTTAAACTGCAGGGATCCAGGTCACTCACAGAGCAATCCCAAAACAGAGCCCAGATCTGAAAACCTGAGACAAAACAAATGCAGATGGTCACAACAAAATTGAGGACGCAAGACCTTATTGAGGCTTTTCAATATCTAAAAGGCAGTTTACAAGAAAGATTGAGACTTTTTATGATGGCCTGTAGTGACAGGACAAGGGGCAACAATTTTTAACTGAAAGTTTAAAAGGCTTAGTTTGGACACACAGAAGAAATGTTTTACAATGAGGGTGGTGAGACACTGGAACAGGCTGCCCAAAGAAGCTGTGGATGTCCCATCCCTGGAAGTGTTCAAGGCCAGGTTGGAAGGGGCTTCAAGCAACCTGATATAGTGAAAGATGTCCCTGCGTGCAGCAGGGGGCTAGATGATCACTGAAAGCCCTTTCCATCTCAAACCATTCTGCGAAACAAATAGGTGTAGCATGCTTGGGGTAGCCATTTAGAAATGTGAGAATACTGACTCCTTTGCAGTCTGTCACTAAAATAGAGTAAACTGAGTAGGAGAAACAAAAATTTTGTTGGTGTTAGGTTAGTAAATTCTTTGTGGCTTCTCGTCTCCAGAAAATGGTATGTACACTGGCTGTGTGCTACTGCTGTATCAGTAAGAAATTAAACAGCACAGAAAGTGACTAATACAGAAGCCCAGGGACCTCAACATATTGGTAGTGCAGGCAATGCAAATCCCCATGTCGTCAAAGCCCTATCTCAAGACTGCTCTCTGCAAACAGTTCAAAACACTGCACTAGTATTAGCTCTATTTATGAAAACATTTCATAGTCAACAACTGAAGATTTAAGCATTCTGTAATGCACTTTGGTAAAAGGAACAGACAACCATGGTTTGATACAATGTTTCAGATCTTCATAGAAGACAGTTCTCAAAAATACATGTGAAGAAGACACATTGAGATTTTCTAGTTACCACTATTCTAGGCTACAGTTATAGGTTGAGATCAATTAATAACAAGTTAAAAAAAAACCCACTAAGTGCAGGATAGAAAAAATTCCAGCATTCTTGTTCTGGTTCACATTTTTTGTCACTCTCTTAACCTTCTGCTTCCCCAAATCACTTAATATTTGATGTAACTGGGGGAAGAGCAGAAAAATCAATCTGTCTGTCCTGAAATTATAGCCACAAGAGGCTATACACAGTATTTGTAAGCTTTATAGCATTCATTCCACTGCAATTTTGGTTTAGGACAATCAGTAAGACAAAAGCCTAGTGGTACTAAAAGAATATAATGAAAGTCTTTAAAGTACTCTAGTAAACCTGACCAAAAGTACAAAGGTTTATTGTTTACTTACCTACCACCCACAGCAAAATCAGAAATTGCGTAGTAATACGACTTGAGAACTTTCGGGTCATTGAAAACTTCATCTCCAAATGTATTCAGACGATTGAGGGTCACTCTAATATCTGTAGCTGTCACCCATTCCTACAGTAAACAGAAATCCCATCAGTTTATAAACATCCAACATTCCCCTCAAGAGCATACCAGTGCTATGTCATTAGCAGTTCTATTTACAGTCATTCATCAATGAGAAAGTTCCATCCTTATCATCTTCCCCTTTGAACCTTGAAAGCCAATACATCCCTGCCCAAAAAGCCTCATACCCCATCCTGTTGGTTTGGACTTGTTTTCCAGACCCTGTTCCTCTCTGGATACACTTTCCAATGTCTCTTTGCATCTTCTCTGCTCTCAACTAGGAAGCAGTGGGTAACGTCTCCATCAGAAAGGTGCAGTGCAGATAATTATGCAAGCTTGCTAATTGTACATAACTATCTGATTGCAGTTTCCCTCCAAAGACATCCAGCACTAACAGGATAAGCTTTAGGATAACGCTTGCCTGCATACATACCCCAACAGATGAAAAGACAGTCAGGTAAATGAATGAGGCTGGGGGAGGTGGAGGAAGAAAAACAGACAGGCAGATCTGACTCACAACACAAGAGCTTTTCATAATATTTATACAGCATTTTCAACAAACTACCCTACCCTCCCCTCCAGCAAGAGCCAGTAAATGTAGTCTGTCCCCAGATTTCACATCACCTTCAGCCAGTGACTGTCATTAGTACCTCCTTGTTTTCATTACAGCTTTTGCAACGCCTTTTCCCTTCAAATACCATAAAAAAAGAAGACGAGAAAAATATCCCTGTATGTACAACTGTGCTGCAGTTGCGTCACTGCTTAGCTAGCACAGTAAGATTTACTGAATTACAAACACTGGCACAAACACGTGGAAATGCTGAGCACAAAATACATGTTTACTTCCATCATGAAAAGCAGTGCCACGGCTTCTGCATGTTTTAGGAAACTGGCAGTCAGGTCTCTATTCCTTACATTGATAAGCTTATTAGAAAATTATACACCATTCACTACCTTCAAATCTTTCCATTCATCTTAATGATTAGACCCTGTTTTCTGCAAGAGCTAGCTACACCAACAAGGTGGCCAAACGGGTTCTTTTCTATTTCTGGAGTTCTCCCTTTCCCATTACTCTTTATTTTCCATTTGTAGAAGCAAGTCCCACCAGATTCTGCTCTCCTGCCTGCTGTATCAGAGACATGTGAGCCCCGAGTCTGCTGAGTCCTTATGTCTATCTTTGCCTGCTACTTTAAGAGGAAAAGGAAGAAGTGGTGATCACAGCTCTGAAAGGAAGGACGGAGCAAACTCCACAACTTTAGATCCTTGTTGCAATATAAGCTGGAGAAGTCAGCAAGCAGAAAACAGAAAACACCACGTAAATCAGGTAAAATTGGTGCTCCTACTATGCTCCTGATCACTGCCCAACTGGTTAGGGTTTCCAATACCCCTAGAAGAATCTTAACGTTTCTTACATTTTTGTGCTAAAAATACACATGCAAATGCATCAAATACTAATTTGACTTAGGCTTTGCTTTCTTCTGTCCTTATATCTGAAACAGCAAAACGCCCACAACTGCTGCCTGAGCAGGAAGAGATTCACACCAATCCTCTAAATAACTCCATGATTCCTAATGACAAACCATCCTTAATGCCATTAATTTTGGGGTTTGTACCAACAACAGAGTCAAGAGTTTAACTCTTCCTTCAAAAGTGTCTCTTTGGATTGCTCATCTCAATTGACCTCTGCAAGGGCTTTTCAGTGTGAATAAGGGCTGTAAGTATAGCCCATAGTTGAAACAAAGCCAACATCTACAATGACTGAACAGAAAGATTCAGACCACCTGATAGACTTAGTCCTGTTCACATACCTGCAGCACGGGGCTGTTATCAAAGTTATAGGCACTGGGACGCCCCTCCAGTGTTGAGAATGCCACATTGCCCCCAGTGAGGGGGGAGATGTCACTGAACTCATCTGTACAGAGTGCCTGCTGCTCATCCTCTCCAGTGCGAATAAAGCCACGATTGACTTTGTGATATGTGCTTTCACAGGAGCCACTGTAATACTGGTAGGGCACCCATGGGCCATCTTCCTGGGTGCGTTTGTAGATTGCAAAGCTCTCTGGCCTACTGGTATGAAACTTCAGACGCACGTATGTGATGTCGAAGGCTTTTCCTGTGGAGGAGAGAAGACAGACATGACTCATTTACAGACTCAAACAACTTCAATCAGAAAGAACAAAAAGAGCTGCACTGCAATTCTCTTTGGAAGATACATCTCCTCTAGTACTATCCAGCAGGATGGGCAGTGTCCAGCAGCACCAGAAGTATCTCTTCCTAGAGTCCTACATACTGTATCTCTCAGCAAAGACAAGGTGAAAGAATTGAAGGCAGAAGCTGAGGGCAGGCCAAGTAGATACACAGACCTAGAGACTTCCGTGCAACCTAACAAACTTCTCAAGCTGCAATTCTCTTCTGCAGACGTCACCAACAATGTACTTACCTCAATACATGACACATTACATCAGACCCACAAACCATTTGTGTGGATCTAAGGTGAGGTCCAAAATAACCATGCCATTTAATGATATTTCTTCCAAATATATTTATGGGAGAAACGGTATTAACCAGAGGCAAGAGCCACACTGTAGAGACTGTTTTCTCTTTCTTTCTTCCTAAGTAGACAATATCCCAAACTCTGCTATTCACAAAGCTTTCCCTCCAGCACTGAACTACTAAGTACACCCTCTTTTACATATTCCCAGGGAAAGAGAAAATAAACTTTCTGGACTATATAATTAAAGTCACCAAGACACTTTTCAGATCAAAGTGTAATGATTTACAAGCCATTCATGCTTTGCCTCTCCTAGAAGAATAAAGGTAAACTCACCTTCCTGCCCTCTATTTATCTCCTAACAGGTCTGTGACAATTAGCAGATCATCCTCCCTCACAGATTCTTCTCCAGTGACTTGAGTATCTACCCCCCCACATGTAAACCATCTGTCCAGGGGATTCACATCCCTGAGAAAACCCATTAGGAGAAAAGGTGCATAGCACTATTCAGCCACCTTCCTCCACCATGCCCACTAGCTAGGGGCATGTTTGCAAGAGAAGGTACAGCTGCATGCCAGCTATTCTTGCTCTGCCTTGGCAAGCAGACTGTGTATGATCAGGACACCCTGGCTCACGTAGGGAACTTGCTGAAACATCATGAGATTTATCTGGAACAAAACTTTGGGTCTCCTCATTGGACAAGGGAAAAAAAACAAACCACCAAACCACACTAAAAAGCTACTAGGAGAGTTTCAACTGATTGAGAAACAGGGTTTTTCCACCTGAAGAAGTCACATAGATTTAACCTTAACTTATAAAATTAATTAACTCCACAGTGCTAAAATAAAGACACGAGGCATTACACCTGCTGAAGAGTGGCTCACAACAAATTAAAGCAAAGCAGATGGTACCTGGCAACAGGGGCAGTGGATCTCTTAAAGTACGCAGCAAAACCTGATGGCAGTGAATCAGGTCACAAATAGGTTTTCACTCGCAGACCACCCACCGGTTACTGGGACCAGTCTGCACTAAACATGTCACACCCAGGCCCTGGCTGGCACAAGAGAAGAACCTTTGTCCTTTCTGGCTGCTGGAAACACTAAAATAGCAGAAGCAGCAAACACGTCCAGAATGTAACATATGGGGGGTGGGGAATGGGAAAACAAAGTAAAAATCAAGACATACATTAACCCTACATGCCCCAAGGATAAAAAGACCACTAATCTTGTGTTTAAAGCCAAAAAGATCTGCCAATGCTCCAATCTACCAAAAAACACTGTGCTTGACAAGCTAGACAGCTGGGGCACTGTACAGATACAAACACCCCAATGCTTCCCACAAGATACCCTTTCCTATTTATATCATGTGTGAGGTTACAGATGAGCCAAGCACAAGACTGGAAGCTGGACATTCACAATCCATGGCTCTTGCTCAGTACTAGCTCACTGTTGGTTTGGGGTCAAGTTATTTAATGTGATCTCCTTATCCAGAAAAGAGAGGCAAGAAGCAATCATATCATTAATGACAAACTGCTTCCACAAGGGCTAAAAAATCCAAAGGACCAATGCTGAACATTGTAATGCAGCTTAGGCATACCCTCCCCTTGCTGCCCAACACAAGAGATTAATCTTGATCCCATTTATTTGGAAGTATTTTTTTTTACAAATCTCAATTCAAGGCAAGAAGCGGGTATCGTATGTACAAATCAGTCCCTCCTGGGTTTCCCATTTCTTCTGCTATGTCTCTTCCCAAGAAGAGAGCTCACCACTGAAGGCAAAGTATGTTTCAAAGGTGAAGAACATGCACATGCAGAAACTTAAGGTGAGCACACCAGGCTCACAGATATGCCAGACATGCAAAAGTATCTTTTTCAGGCCCTTGGTAAAAAAATCCAGGATATGTTCCCCATCTTTTCCAAAGGCAATGAGCCCCAGAAGCAAATGCCTCCCACTTTCTGCAGGAAAACCCTAGTATAGATGTTGACTAGCAACTTGTCAACCCAAGAACTTCACAAACACCTTCGATGACCAGCAACTAAACCCAGACCTACTATCATGGCTTTATCACTAATAAAAGTTTCATCACCTTAGTAAGAAAGTTTTAGTTTTCTTTGAGCTCATGTGCTAAAATAAAGCACATTATGAGGCTCAAAGTCTGCCCTGGTGGGATTTTTTTGGACAGTTTTCATGACAAGTGAAAATATCAGGCAAAAGCAGCCATCCGGTAAATCAATAGGGGGAAAACAAGCAAAAAAACAAAAATCGCAACAGACCCAACATCATGAAGACCATTCAATTAAATTGTGTCAACCGAATTGTCAAGAACAGCCTACTACTTTGACTTGAGAGGGTTAGTTTTCTCCTCCTACTACTGCATTCTTCTAGCATAAAGCAAAAACCCTGCATTCAGGCTTCATCAAGATGATTTCTGGGAGGAAACGCTTTGAAAGAATCCTGGGAATGAAGAGGGGGCCGGGTGTGTGCTCTCACTTCACGCACACAACTTTCTGCTCTAACAGAGAGGCCAGGCCACAGCCTGCACGTCCCCGAAAAGAAGTTCTTTTTTTTTTTTCCCTCTCCACTATAACTGTATTACAGTCTCTGTTCCCCTACAAGGTCTCCTACAGCTCCTTGGAATAACTGCAGCTCAGCTAAAAGGCACAACACATGCAAACTGCAGTCCGCGCAGCACTAAAACATCTTCCAAAGAATCCCTTGCACTAAAGGGAAAGGACTCACCCTTCTCCAGTTTTACATGGCAGGCCAAAGAAAACACATTCAAAACCCTTCCAACCAAGCAATCCAGGTGAAAAAGACATTTATTTCAGCTGGCAGCATAACTACTTGAGAAATTCTGTTTATGGCATTAAACAGGAATGCAGTTAATGCGCACAGAGTGGCTGTGTGCTAGTGCCGTATCAGCTTGCCATGGGTAAATACTGCTGGAACAATAGAGTTTACCCAAGACCAGCTGACACAGTGTTGAAATGTGTTTCCCCACTGTTCATACTAAACGTAAAAGCTGTGCTTAGCAGCCTGGCAGCTAGCAGGGCTCTTCAAGGTTGCAGAACCTTTTTCTGGCAAACATAAGCCACCTAGGTTGCTTTCAAGTCTCACAGAGCTAAATAAACACCTGTTACACTGAGAAATGGCAACAGCAATAACCAGGTGAAAGGCAGTTTTAAACGTTTCATTTAGAAGACAAAAAGCCATTGTTCTCCTGTTCCTAGAAGCTGGTAATTATTTTGATTTGTTTGTATCAGATAATATTTCCTTCTGTGTACTGCACAGTGGCAGATATATTTTGCAGGAAGAACTTCAGATGTCTGTTATAAGTTTGTTAGTAGAAAGAAAACACATGGTAATTAATAACTATGAGCTCAGCACTTCAGGAGTGCAGCCTGACAAGTCTTTAAAGCATCCAGAACTCAAAGAAGCACATTTTAAAACAGTGTTTTTTTCTGTGGCACGAATCTGTTCACCAGCAAGTGACAATGTGACAAAATAACCAGCCCCTTTTTGATAATTCAGAGTGATCTGGAAAACCCTGTATTATCTTTCTCTAAAGTAAACAAGCACACCTATAAGCCTTCAAGATAGTACCACAATTACACATTTAACCAAGCAAGCAAGTCTGAGCTCCTGCAGAGGCAGCTGTAGCATTGGAAAAGTTCAGCCTTGTTCAATGCAGGGGATGCTTCCCCAACAACCTGCTCATATTTTCAGGCTGACCACAGCCACCAGATGTCATTAGCAATTAAAGCCCTTCCTCTCAGCAGGGTTATCACCCAACTCTATCCCAAGTTTCATCAGGAAATGCACCATGCTGAAAACCATGAAGATAGACTGGAAAAATGTAAGCAAATCCTATTTAGATCTTCAGAAAAGCCTCCCTTTTTCCCCAAGTCAGGAATTCATCCCTATCACACAAAAGGCCTCCTTGTATTCAGACCCACAGAACGGATGGATAATTTACATCAGGAAAACACCCCGCCAGCTGGCACACCAACAACAAGCACTGAATTGTGAGCAGATGCCTGCATGAGATGAGCCCAGACGACACTCACCTCCTTCAATATAAGTCCACTTACATGCATGCAGGAGGAAAACACACTACTTCTGCGCACTCTGCAATCCCTCAGTGCATCCTACCAGCAGTGAGTTTTAAAATACAACTGCTGAGTTTTGCTGCCCAGGAGGAAAAAAAATAAAAAAATCAAATCCACCTGAGAAGATTGTATTGTGCAAAGCACCAAGCTTCCACAGATTTGTTTTCAACAAACTTCACTGGACAGTAATCAAATGGTTAAACTTTGCTCTGTTTCTCTTTTGATTTGCTCCTCTTTCAAGGCAGCTTTTTTCACCCAGATACCTGCTAACAACCTATTTCTAAATAAAGGTTAAAAGAACTGATAACAGACTGCTAAAAAAATACAACCCATTTACTGTTTTTTTATTTAATTTCATTTTCATTTTGCAGTGACAGGACAGAGAGCAAGCAACCACCACTGGCATTTCATTTTGCTCTCACCTGACCTATTTCTCCATCATTCCCAGAAGGCCAATTTTCTCAGTTTACTAGACTGGAAATTGCTCCATACCATTCACTCATCTTGTCCTTAC